GGTCGGTATCCCCATCTTTGAAATCGATGACAAAATGAGACACCAGCTGACGCAAAGTTTGGAATCCTCGACATTGCTGTAAAAATAATAAAATTATCGAAATTTATTTACAGCAAACATTTGGCAAACAGGGCTATTCCAGTTGTAATTTGCCAACTTGATCAATCACACACAAAACTTAGGATAGTTATTGTTGAAAGTTACTTTTTCCAGGTAACGGTTGTAAAAATCAAGAAATGCAAAATGGTTTAATATTGAAAAAAATAATACGATACGACTGTACTTATAGATATTTAGAAAAAAATGTATCTTAAAACTCTCAAAAGCAAATTGATTTGATAGTTGATGCATTTACAACTGTAGATATATAGTAATGTACATATACCTATGTTTATCTTACATTTTTTCTGACATTAACATTTTTAGCAGATTTTATTTTCGAATAACCAACTTACCCTCTTCGAGATCCCTCATCATATCTTCTGGTGCTTTCTGTCGCGGCGATCTGTCGTGAAAGGACGGACACACAGAAAGTTCGCTTTGGTTTACGTGTTCCTAGACAAGTACCATACTTTAATTATTTTCTTGTAATAATATAAACTAATGAAAACTAACAATATTATTTAAGCTTTAGATTGCTGTTGTGAAACAATGCGCAAATAACATAGAAACAACGTCAAATATGACGTCAGAAAACATTTCAACGTCGATTTTTCATTGGTTGATCGTGACGTCTATTTTTATTTTCATAATCAAAGAAATAATTACAACTATCATAATTATCATTATTATTATTTATTATTATATATTTATTATTATTATTGATTATTAATATTATTATTATTATTATTATATTATTATTATTATTATATTATTATTATTATTATTTATTTATTATTATTATTATTAAGTAAGTTTATTGTGTTGTTATCGAGTTACAGCACCAAGACAGTAGACTTCTCCGATATACATTATAATGCTGCACGTTTATAACGTTGATTTTCATTGGATAATCGTGACGTTTATAGTATTAGTTATACACACGTAATTATTTTGACAGGTTATATGGCCCTATATAAAAGGCTGTTTGGAAATACTGTATAACCCGAGCCGCTAGGCGAGAAAAAGAAAAGTATTCTGTAACAAATTTCAAACTTGAAAAAAATCATTTCAAACTATTGTCTTTTGATTTATTAGCTAAAGGTCTATGATGAATTATGTGTACATGCGTTATTTAAAGAAAAAAATGTTTATAAAATGTATGGCACGGCGCTTAAGTCATCATAAATTAATGATACATGCATTCCAATTCAAGACATCTCTAATGTATAATAACATTATGTTCAATAGGTAAAGCAAAATTTACTACATTGTATATATTTGCCACTTTTATGAAGCCATTTTAAAACTTTTCGATATTACTACTTTAAAGAATTCTAACTCAAATTTGAATATTTTCATGTTCATTGGTGTTTCACCACATATATCAACCATTGTGTTCATTTCTTTATTGAAACACATAGTCACTGGATAAGCAACATGACAATCCGCTAATATGTCAGCTCTAACTGACTGTATACTGGATATGCACGGTGGTAACGCTGGAAAAGTAACCCAGAATTGTGCAATAAATGGCGGATACCTGGCAGGATTTCCAACGCAGTAAGTAAACTGGCCATTGGCCAATATATTCTTATTTAACCAATTTGAAAAAAGGAATAGCCGCATACGGCTGCGAAGACATCCTCCTCAAGATTATTTCCACAAAATTGCCTACTTTTCAAGATCATTTTTGAAAATAATGGCTTGACCACTGTTTTGAGCGTGATTTTGACTTTTTGTCGGCTCTTATTAGTACAACAATTCATATAATACCGCATATAATTTCGATTTTGGTATGCAAATGACTTTAAATTAACTTCTGGTGACGTAAAAAATGAAAATACGCTGATAAAATATGGTTCAAGCCATTTTTATGAAGTATCGCCCAGGTTCGTGAATTGTGCTTCGCGGTAACGCCGGAAAATGTGATTTTTTTCATATATGGTACTGAATTATTACACGGTTTTAACGCCATTAATCGGCGAGTATAAGCACTTTTCAAAAATATTTTTATGGGGGAAACTTTAATTCATTTCATACAGAATTCATTTAGAAAATATAGACACCGAATCCGTCCCTGAAACCACCGAGCTATAAGCTTCGTAATATAAGTCTTTGTTGAAGTGAGTATGAAGCAATGCGTGAACAATTTCTTACTCAGGGAAACAATGGGATTTGAACCGTTTATCATATACATAGCAATTCTCAATATCCAAGAGCTTTGTTAAATTATTGCTATATTTCTAGAAGAATGATCTTAAAAGAAAGCAATTTCGTGGAGGGATAAAGTATAATGTCTTCGCAGCCGTATATGCGGCTATTCGATCATTTTTTCAGTTTGGTTAAATAAAGAATATTTTGACAAGTTTAATTATAACGTTGAAAATCCTGCCAAGTATCCGTCATTTATAATATTGCACAATTCTGCGTGACTTTTGGAGGAATGGTGCGTTTAATTTCATGTTCCGGCGTTACTGGATAAACACCGACAGAAACAAACCTACCAAAACAATGTTCGATGCAGGCCACGTACTTCATGAACTAGTATATTGTTCAGTTAATAAATTGATATTCATGGAATATAAGATTGAGAAAACATAAAATAAAAACTTGAAATGAACTGCTTCATTAACAAACTTTTATTAAACAACTCATTCATAGCAAACAAACAACAAAAAACCCCGAAGCAACCCAAAACAAAAAGGTTAAGAAAAGAGGCGTGGTGATAATGCGATGCAGTTAATCAGCATTTAAGTCGTGGAGAACCTGGAAAATAAACATGTTAAGTATATACAAACTGTTAAATTTATTCCTTATATTCTACATACATATAAAGTTATTGAACTTTCTACGCTCCGACTTTATAAATTTTTTGTTGTGAGAAACCGATAAAAATTAATACTCAAGAATGCATGTATGCTTTTAATGAGATCTGTAAACCTTAATTGGTAGTTCATGGTAATTACACGTGCGCAGAAAATAGAAGATAAATTATTTGTACCTGATTAGAATTTAGCTCCAGAGAGGCCAGCTGCCTTCTCTCTCTTCTCACGTAAAATGTCGTTACGAAGAAGCTCGGCTAAAATCTCTTTTTCCTCAGATGTGTAGATGATCTGGAAGTGGTACATTAATACTCAAATATAAAATCTATTCATGAGTAAACTTCTAGTAAATTTCAAGCAGGGTGTACCAATATTTTAATACATGCCTATATATAACTGATTTTTTCCATTCATTGTAATTTATTCGACCTTCCCGTAGTTTAAATTCCTCAACCCCCATTGTCCTCATTATGAAAATACGTTATGTAGTTTCCGTACATAGAAAACTCGCCTTAGTCTTCAAAGTAAATATGCTACTCTCAGTTATGATAAGCCCTACTTTCTAAGTTTAATGTATGCATATGGCCTCTAATAATTGTCGAGTCAGTTCTTACAAAACAGTTAAACCTATAAACTATCCTTCGGGTCTGTGTTGTTAATGATCTGGTTATATTTAGAACACTACAGTCAATTACCTCATTATTATCCTCGGTTTGTTTGTCAGTTCCATTAAGCCGGTCTGCCAGTCTAGATGGCATTCTGGTCGTATCCCCATCTTTGAAATCGATGACAAATGAGACACCAGCTGACGCAAGTTTGGAATCCTCGACATTTGCTGTAAAATAATAATTATCGAAATTTATTTACAGCAAACATTTGCAACAGGGCTATTCAGTTGTAGATTTGCCAACTTGATCAATCACACACAAAACTTAGATTAAGTTATTGTTTGGAAGTTAACCTTTTCCAAGGTAACGGTCTGTAAAAAAATCAAGAAATGCAACAATGGTTAATATTGGAAAAATAAAATACCGATGTACAGTAAAAAACCCGCTTTACGACCACCCCGTTTTTCGAGACCAAACCGCTAATACGAACGATTTTTTTTAAAGACGCCTATTTTTATTCTTTATTTTAATGGTCGCTAACCCCGATTTTGAACCACTCCGTTATTCCGTAATGCGCCCCCAGTAAAATTCATCCCATTTCGTTTAAAATTTTCTTTTTTACTTTGAAACCCATAAATACACCCAACATTAAGTAACGATTCGCACACTAACGATTCGACCACATAACGGATCTCGCCACAGAAGTAATAACGATTCGCCGACAGTTAAATAACGATTCCCACGTCGTTCAAATTATTTATAGCCAACCGCTGTACGTGACTGTATCGATGAAAAGAGTTGATATTTCGTTAACTAACATATTTAGATCATTTTACCGATGGCGTCACTTAATATAATGTTATCAGAATGTTTAACATTTGTATTTTTTTTTGATCAATGATATTTATAAAAGTTTCAGCCCTTTTTTTGATCCCAAAGCTTCACGTCGGAGACTCGTCGCCCCCTTTTTTTTGATTAGTTTTATTTAGCTTAAATGACAATTTCAGTTCAACCAAACTATGGAGTCCCGAAAATAAGGGCACTACCTTTAAAACTATCGGAAAAATTTTCTAAAAACCCAAAGAACCCCAACGTGCATTATTCTACAACAATGCACTCGCCGTTCTTATTATTTCCCCCCGTGTATTTTTGGGATTGAGGGCCCATTTTGTTTGAAAAATGTGATAAATAAAAACAAATTTTGTCGAATTTGTTGTGAAAACTATCTAGAATGAAAGAAAATGGTCTAAAATAAGAAAATAACGAACACCAATTCTTTTTTTTTAGTCGTTTTAAGCTGTAAAAGACGTTTTAAAATATTGTTTAGTACTAAAAATGTCCGCCAAACAGCACGTGCAAAACAAAAAATCAAATACCTATTTTAATGACGCAAACGAGTTAAATTTTAACTTTATTTACTTTTAATAATTTTTTTATTTGTTTTAAAAAAAATTTTAGAGTGAAATAAAAAAACAAAAAAAAAGTTTTTTTCAACGTTTCCAAATTGTTATTCTACACATAGAAGATTTAACGACAGTTTTTAATATTTTTTCTTGAAAAGTAGTCCGGAAAAACATGCATCCACGTGATCAAGTGCCGTAGATCAGAAAAATTATACGGCACCTTGTTATCGGGCCGAAATTGATACACGTGACAGGATAAAACGTTTTATCCTGTCACTTGTATCAATTTCGGCCCGATAACAAGGTGCCGTATATTTTTACTGATCTACGGCACTTGATTACGTGGTTTGCATTATGCCGGACTACTTTTAAAGAAAAAGTATAATTATTATTATAATGCTGGACTTTATGTTTGGTTGTTAAATTTGTTTTCGCCTCAGAGTTTCCAATATAAACGTTCTTTACAGGCCGTTCCAGTGGTATGGAAAAAAAACTGTCGTTAAATCTTCTGTGTGTAGAATAACGAATTTTGGAAACGTTGATGCCAATAACGTTGCGACATTAAAATAGCGTATTTGTTTTGATTGTTTTGCACGTGCTGTTTGGCGCTACAATGTGACGTCACGTAAACAATACTTTAAACGTCTGTACAGCGTTAACGACTGAATAAAAGTTTTTGGTGTTCGAATTCATTTTCTTAGTTAGACCTTTTTCTTCCAAAAGAAGTTTTCACAAAAAAATTCGACAAAAAATTGTTTTTATTTATCAATTTTTCAAACAAAATGGCGCCCTCAATGTGAAAAAAACCCAGGGAGATAATAAGAAGGGCGAGTGCATTGTTGTAAAAATAATGAACGCTTCGGCCTTCTTTTTTTGGCTATTTAGAAACTTTTTCCGATAGGTGATTAAAGTATTTGCCTAATAAAGTTTTTTAAAAAAAACGGTGACAGGAAAAAATAGAAAATGATTGGTCCCGTGGATGGAGAAAGTTTATTTTTAATTTCTGCTTCCGGAAATTTTGTTGGGTTCGCCTTCGCTACCCAATAAATTCCCCCCCTCGCCAAAAATAAATTTTTCCCCTCCACGGCACAACCTGTTATTTCTATTTTTTCCTGTCCTTCACGCAGCCTAGGGGCTTTTTTCGACCCCTTTTTTTTCCCAGTTTGGTTAAAAAAAATATTTTAAAAAACCAGTTTAATTTACCAACCGTTAAAAATCCTGCCAAGTAGCATTGAAATATTGCACAATTCTCTTTTATTTTTTACGAATGGTCTTTTAATTTCACATTCCGGCAAAAACACCAACAGAAACAAACCTACCAAAAAACAATGTACGATTAGGCCATATTTCATGTAAGATATTGTTCATTATTTAAAAATTGAAATTCATGCAATATAATTGGAAATAAAATAAAACTTAAAATGAACTGCTTCATTAAAAATTTTTATTAAAAAATCATTGCAAACAAACAAAAAAAACCCGAAGCAACAAAACCAAAAGGTTAAAGAAGAGGGGCTTGGTGATAATGCGATGCAGTTATCAGAAATTTTAAAAGTCGGGGAGAACCTGGAAAAAAACATGTTAAGTAATATTACAAACTGTTAAATTATTCCTTATATTCTACATACATAAAAATTATTGAACTTTCACCCCCCGACTTTTATAAATTTTTTGTTGTGAGAAACCGATAAAAATTAATACTCAAGATGCAGTATGTTTTTAAATTTAGATCTGTAAACCTTAATTGGTTTTTCATGGTAAATTTACCGTGCGCAGAAAATAGAAGATAAATTTATTTTGTACCGTTAGAATTTAGCCCCAAAGGGGCGCTCCCTTCTTTTCTTTCTAGTTAAAAATGTCGTTACGAAGAAGCTCGCTAAAATCTCTTTTTCCCCTCAGATGTGTAATGTTTGGAAGTGGTAAAAATTAATTTTTCAATATAAAATCTATTCATGAGAAAACTTCTGAAAATTTTAAAGCAGGGTGTACCAATATTTTAATACATCCTATATAAAAATGATTTTTTCCATTCATTGTAATTTATTCGACCTTTTTCCGTAAGTTTAAATTTCCCTCACCCCCCAAATTTCCTCATTATGAAAAACGTTATGTAGTTTCCGTACAAAAAACTCGCCAGCCCAAAGAATAGCACCTCATTATGAAACCCCTTTTTTCAAGTTAATTTTTGTATATATGGCCTCTAATGTTTTGTCGAGTCAGTTCTTACAAACAGTTAAACCTAAAAAACATCCTTGGGGTCGGGTTTTTTAAATGACTGGTTATATTTAGAACACTACAGTCAATTTACCTCATTATTACCCCTGGGTTTGTTTGTCAGTTCCTTAAGCCGGTCTGCCATTTCTAGTGGCATTCTGGCGTATCCCCATCTTTGAAATCGATGACAAATGAGACACCACTGACGAAGTTTGGGAAAAAACCTCGACATTTGCTTTTAAATAAAAAATTATCGAAATTTTTTTTACGCAAATTTTTGCAACAGGGCTTTTCAGTTTTAATTTGCCCTTGAATAATCCAACAAAAAAACTTAGGAAGTTATTGTGATTTATTTTTTCCAGGTAACGGTTGAAAAAATGAAATGAAAAAAGGGTTTAAAATTTGAAAAAAAAAATAATATTTTATAAAAAATTTTTTAAAAAAAAATGTATCTTAAAAAAACTCTCAAAAGCAAATGATTTGATAGTTGATGCATTTAATCTGTAGATATTAGTACTGTATATATATGTTTTACTTACATTTTTTCTACTTTAAACATTTTAAGCAGATTTTTTTTCAAAAACCATTTCCCCTTTTCAGATCCCTCATATATTTTCCCTGGTGCTTTCTGTCCGGCATCTTCGTAAAAGGACGGACACACGAGTTCCCGCTTGGTTCCGTTTTCCAAGAAAGACCATTTTAATTTTTTTTGAAAATAATATAAAAAAATGAAAACTAAAATTTTATTTAGCTTTAGATTGCGTTGTGAAACAATTTGGGGTCTTAAAAAAGGAAAGCGGGGGGTTTAACTGGGTCATGTAAACCATTATATAAAACAAAAATTCTTTTTTTTTTAAAAAATGGTTTAATAGCGGGTGGTCTTAATTCCGGGGTGGGTTAAGGAGGGATTCTACTGTAGTTATAAATATTTTGACAGGTTATAAGGCCCTATATAAACGGCTGTTTGGAAATATAACCCGAGCCGCTAGGCGAGAAAAATAAAAATATTCTGTTACAAATTTCAAACTTAAGAAAATTCATTTCAGACTATTGTCTATTGATTTATTAACTTAAGTTCTATGATGAATTATTTTAAGAAAAAATGTTCATAAAATGTATGGCACGGCGCTTATGTCATCATAAATTAATGATACATGCATTCCAATTTAACACATCTCTAATGTATAATAACATTTTGTTCAATAGGTAAAGCAAAATTTACTATATATTTGCCACTTTTATGAAGCCACTTGAAAACTTTTCTATATTACTACTCTCAAATTTGAATATTTTCATCTTCATTGGTGTTTCACCACATATTACAACCATTGTGTCCATTTCTTTATTGAATCACATAGTCACTGGATGAGCAACATGACAATCCGCTAATATGTCAGCTCTAACTGACTGTATACTGGATATGCACGGTGGTAACGCTGGAAAAGTAACCCAGAATTGTGCAATAAATGGCGGATACCTGGCAGGATTTCCAACGCAGTAAGTAAACTGGCCAATATATTCTTATTTAACCAAATTGAAAAAAGGACTAGCCGCATACGGCTGCGAAGACATTATACTTTATCCCTCCTCAAGATTATTTCCACAAAATTGCCTACTTTTCAAGATCATTCCTGAAAATAATGGCTTGACCACTGTTTTGAACGTGAATTTAACTTTTTGTCGGCTCTTATCAGTACAACAATTCATATAATACCGCATATAATTTCGATTTTCGTATGCAAATGACATTAAATTAACTTCTGTTGACGTAAAAAAATGAAAATACGCTGATAAAATATGGTTCAAGCCATTTTTATGAAGTATCGCCCAAGTTCATGAATAGTAGGGTTTCTTAATCGGACAAAAATCATAATTGATCATCGAAAATAATCGAACAACCCTTTTCGATCAATCATCGATTATATAATCGAAATATTTACAACAACAAAGTTAATATGTACAATGTACATATCATGCTTAACTATTTATTAGAATTCCATTAATATTCTATATTTTGTGTATCTACAACTTTATCAACTGAAATAAACTAGTTTACAGATATACTATGCTCATCCTTGAGTAAAATATTTTAATCAAATAAATTCATTAAAATCTATAAAATTATTCTGTCTCAATTTCAATAAAGGAATGAATAATTTCAATAAACTATGTATGCATGGGAACAAGTTAAGTTGGTTCTTTCAAAACTGTCAGGTTTTATTTAATGACACTATATATTGATATTGTAACTACCTTTAGTGTGTAAAATAATTTTATACATAACATATCTTCTTTGTGTGAAGTCAAAACATGTTTATTTTATATTTACAAATAGACTGTGTAGCAATTCTAAATATTTTCTAATGTCAAATTTGAGCATAGTATAAACTTCACTGTCAACTATTAACACCATGGTCACCAGTATGCTATCATATTCAATTGAATGCAAATTATTGTTTCAACCAAAGCTGGCTTTAATTTAGAGTGTTGTTATACTACAGTGAGTCACTTAAGTAACAGCAAAAAATAAATTACCGATGATCGATTATTAAACCTTGTTATCGATCATCGCCGATCGGTCCTTTAAACGATCAATTTTCGATTATACTCGATCATCGTTTAATCCCTAATGAATAGTGCTTCGCGGTAACGCCGGAAAATGTGATTTTTTTCATATATGGTACTGAATTATTACACGGTTTTAACGCCATTAATCGGCAAGTATAAGCACTTTTCAAAAATATTTTTATGGGGGAAACTTTAATTCATTTATACAGAATTCATTTAGAAAATATAGACACCGAATCCGTAGCTTTAAGCTTCGTAATATAAATCTTTGTTGAAGTGAGTATGAAGCAATGCGTGAACAATTTCTTACTCAGGGAAACAATGGGGTTTGAACCGTTTATCATATACATAGCAATTTCTTAATATCTAAGAGCTTTGTTAAATTATTGCTATATCTCTAGTAGAATGATCTTAAAAGTAAGCAATTTCGTGGAGGGATAAAGTATAATGTCTTCGCAGCCGTATGCGGCTATTCGATCCCTTTTTTCACATTGGTTAAATAAAGAATATAATGACCAGTTTAATTACCACGTTGGAAATCCTGCCAAGTATCCGCCATTTATAATATTGCACAATTCTGCCTGACTTTTGCAGGAATGGTGCGTTTAATTTCACATTCCGGCGTTACTGGATAAACACCGACAGAAACAAACCTACCAAAAACAATGTACGATGCAGGCCACGTACTTCATGTACTAGTATATTGTTCAGTTACTAAATTGATATTCATGGAATATAGATTGGAAATAAAATAAAACTTGAAATGAACTGCTTCCATTAACACACTTTTATTAAACAACTCATAGCAAACAACAACAAAAAAAACCCGAAGCAACAGAAACAAAAGGTTAAGAAGAGAGGCGTGGTGATAATGCGATGCAGTTAATCAGCATTTAAGTCGTGGAGAACCTGGAAAATAAACATGTTAAGTATATACCAACTGTTAAATTTATTGCTTATATTCTACATACATATAAAGTTATTGAACTTTTTACGCTCCGACTTTATAAACTTTTTGTTGTGAGAAACCGATAAAAATTAATACTCAAGAATGCATGTATGCTTTTAATGAGATCTGTAAACCTTGGTAGTTCATGGTAATTACCACGCTATTACACGTGCACAGAAAATAGAAGATAAATTATTTGTACCTGATTAGAATTTAGCTCCAGAGAGGCCAGCTGCCTTCTCTCTCTTCTCACGTAAAATGTCGTTACGAAGAAGCTCGGCTAAAATCTCTTTTTCCTCAGATGTGTAGATGATCTGGAAGTGGTACATTAATACTCAAATATAAAATCTATTCATGAGTAAACTTCCAGTAAATTTCAAGCAGGGTGTACCAATATTTTAATACATGCCTATATATAACTGATTTTTTCCATTCATTGTAATTTATTCGACCTTCCCGTAGTTTAAATTCCTCAACCCCCATTGTCCTCATTATGAAAATACGTTATGTAGTTTCCGTACATAGAAACTCGCTTTAGTCTTCAAAGTAATATGCTACTCTCAGTTATGATAAGCCCTACTTTCTAAGTTTAATGTATGCATATGGCCTCTAATAATTGTAGAGTCAGTTCTTATAAAACAGTTTTACAGTAAAAATTAAACCTATAAACTATCCTTCGGGTCTGTGTTGTTAAAGATCTGGTTATATTTAGAACACTACAGTCAATTACCTCATTATTATCCTCGGTTTGTTTGTCAGTTCCATTAAGCCGGTCTGCCAGCCTAGATGGCATTCTGGTCGTATCCCCATCTTTGAAATCGATGACAAATGAGACACCAGCTGACGCAAGTTTGGAATCCTCGACATTTGCTGTAAAATAATAATTATCGAAATTTATTTACAGCAAACATTTGCAACAGGGCTATTCAGTTGTAATTTGCCAACTTGATCAATCACACACAAAACTTAGGATAGTTATTGTTGAAGTTACTTTTCCAGGTAACGGTTGTAAAAATCAAGAAATGCAAAATGGTTAATATTGAAAAATAAAATACGATGTACTTATAGATATTTAGAAAAAATGTATCTTAATTAAACTCTCAAAAGCAAATTGATTTGATAGTTGATGCATTTACAACTGTAGATATATAGTATATACCTATGTTTATCTTACATTTTTTCTGACATTAACATTTTTAGCAGATTTTATTTTCAATAACCACTTACCCTCTTCGAGATCCCTCATCATATCTTCTGGTGCTTTCTGTCGCGGCGATCTGTCGTGAAAGGACGGACACACAGAGTTCCGCTTTGGTTTACGTGTTCCTAGACAAGTACCCATACTTTAATTATTTTCTTGTAATAATATAAACTAATGAAAACTAACAATATTATTTAAGCTTTAGATTGCTGTTGTGAACAATGCGCAAATAACATAGAAACAACGTCAAATATGACGTCAGAAACGTTTCAACGTCGATTTTCATTGGTTGATCGTGACGTCTATTTTTATTTCATAATCAAAGAAATAATTATTAACATTTATTATTATTATTATTATTATTATTATTATTATTATATTGGTTGTTCTAATGTTGTTGTTTTTGTTGTCATTATAATTGTTATTATCATCATTATTATTATTATTATTATTGCTGTTGTTGTTGTTGTTGTTATCGAGTTACTTCACCCAGACAGTGGACATCTTTGATGTATTTAGAGGAAAATATACTAACCAACCGTGTCGGACAAGAAACAAGACTAACTATAAAGATAAAAGTATTGTTAGACTTAAAAAGATAATTCTACTGCACCTGTCATTTATCTGCCAAAGCTTGTTAATACTACAATATCTAAAGTAAACAAATATCGTCCGCGCATAAATAATTCCAATTTGTGTAATTACATGATATTATTATATCTAGAGGAATAAAGAAAGTACATGTCTTCTACTGAAAATGGAATAACCGTTCTCTTTTGATGAACTAAGATGTCTGTATTTATTATGTTAGTGATTATTTTTCTAATTTTCTCTGTCATAGGAGCTGACGAATTCCGCACTTGTAAGTTTTGTGTCAACATGTTTTTTCTTTTTAGTTTGATTTGACGTAGATATTATATCCGTAAGTGAGCTGTCATATTCGTGCTTTAAATCGGTCCCTCTTTTTAAAGCAACATGCCTCCAGATGAGCCAAAAAATTTCAAGAAAATCAAACTTGAGAAAAAATGTACTAATATTTTAAGGAAAGTAAAAAGATTCAAGGTTAAAGTACATTAAAAAATTTACATGTTATGTTCGAATAATGACTGATTTTGCAATATTTATATATATCTAATAACTGTCTTATCTTTTTTCAAAGTAATTTTCTTTTAAATAGTTTTTCACATTTTTATGAAAATTTGCATAATCTGGAGGCGTGCTGCTTTACAGTAATATGCTTTTTTGTATATGAAATTGTACTTAATAAAATCGTGCTTCCTAAAATTTTAAACATTTAGATAGATCTGTCTGTACTTTTTTTCTGAACTGTTCTACTGTACAAATTATGTACATGTATTTTGCTTTCAAATTTGCAATAGGTTCATTTATTACGCTGATTTTATTACTGATTTTCTTTACAGATTCCGTTACAGACATTTACGAAGGAACAGCAGCAGACGACACTTGTTATAGCACTATATCTATGTACAATGACTGGATATTTGCTGGACAGATTGTTTATAAAACCGAGGACGCTGTTGTTAACTCAACATGTAAAGAGTTTGAATTGACCATTTACGCCGACTATCCGAGCAATTTAGAATCTCTGAGAATAATGGCACGTGTTATTGTGGATGAAAGGGAAGATCAGCATACATCAATACATAACAAAACTATCATAATATTAACTGTCTATGATGATGTTCATCTAAATGAAAGTAAAATTTCATTGTACTTTATATAATTAATAAGATTTATTTTATTAAAATACAGTAACCAAAAGATGCATGGCAGTTTTATTCTATAAACGAATATAACATTTATGAGATCGATTCTTTCTTTGTTATATCTATAAAATTAATTTCGATTTACAATTTACCTTGTACATGTATCTTATGTGTTTGTCTAGGTATAGAAATAAATGAAAATAGCACCCTCAAAACAACCCAATCTTTCGTCACTTCTTACGAGGTTCTTAAAATCAAGTTTCCATCAAAACTCAAAAGAAACTGGTCGCTTATATTCACAGCATTTCACACAGGTAAATGTTATCATCATTTTCTCAAAAGTGCCACTGGCTGTTAGAGACATATGTTTCATCTTTGGCTCTTAGCTTTGCTATGACCTTAGTCAATGACAATGTTATTAGAATGTTTAATTATAGCATTATTTAAGTATTGTATTCCAAACACTTAGACATTCTTTTCAAAATGTCTAAATTTCTCATGGTCGGGCAACCTATGGCTGTGACTCCCTAGTTTGTTCATTTGTGTCTAAAAGCCAAAACACGTGGCACTGTATTGATTGTCTATTAGAATCATACGTTTATTACAAAACAATATATTCTTGCTTCTATATTCGATTGTTCGTTTCTGCTATATTCAACTATTTTGTCTTCTATAGTCAACTGTTCTTGTCTTTCATATTCGACTTTTCTAGTGTGTATCTTAGATTACATTTGCAGGGCTTTGTCATTCTTATGAATACATGTGTGCCAACAAACGTTGTATATTCCACTCACTGAGCTGTAGCGAGTATGACCCTTGTGGTGACCAATCAGATTGCCTCATATCTCCTGCTGCTTATGCAGCGATAGCTCTTGGTAAATAAACTTTAATTTTTCACTAGAATAAAATGCTGCTGTAGTGTTATGATTACATAGGACACCATTGTAATAAAACAACTTACTAGTACTTATTATGTGATGTTATATACAATCAAATTAAGAACATAGAAAAAACAGTTCTGGTATTGCATTATAAGCACTTATAATTTATAAGTGAAACACTGATCATGTGCGCATACAACATATCAGATAATAATTTAAATTTGAATATTTCTCACTTGGAGTTTTCGAAAATAATTAAGTCTTTTATTAAGCGACACCTATTTGAGAAACAAACAATTATATTTTAAAACAAGAAACAATCTGTAATCTGTAAGGTTCGCTATTTGTATCGTTAAATTATTGTCTTGTTATAGGTGGACTATGTACACTTGGTGTAATAATTGTAATAATCTATATCATCGTGAAGAGCAGGCAAGCATCAGACTGGAGTTCTAGGGACAGACAACCGAGGAAATTTTCACCGGTATATTTTTATGATAAAAACATTATTCTGCAAAATCAAGCATTATATCAATTAGTATTTACATTAGTTTACAATTAACAGTTCAGACATAGAAGTAAAATAAATCTTAGATGGTTACTTGGGCGTTCGTGGCCAAGTGGTTAAAGTTGTTGACTTCAAACCACTTGCCCCTCATCGCTGCTGCCAGCCGTCTTCGAATCCAGCTTGCTTTCGAAACGTTGGTGGTTCTACTCAGGTGCACGTTTGTGCCTGAAATAATCTACATTTTAAAGGGGCACTCCACCAAAAAAACAACAAAAAAAAACAACAAACAAACAAAAACAAAAAACAACAGAAACAAAAAAATAATGATTCGCAACTATACAACTACACCGTATTTTTTTATCAAGTAGAGTATTTTATTAGATCTTTCATTTGGTCCGGTAGTTAAATACTGGATCCTCATAAATATTCTGTTCAAAATGAATATCTAGAGCTTATAATCACTACTTGCATGTGACTGATAGATACAAGGTAACAACTATCAATATAATGATAAACAACATTGTTAAAATTGACTTAAAAACGCCGCATTTCTGTTTGTTTGGGTTCTTCATATTTCATTTGTTTTATAATTTGAATCTCTGTCGTCTCTCTTATTTACTTATATGATAAAACTTATATAACTGCAGGCGAAGGCATTGCAGAGCGTCCAAGCTTTTACACCAGCAACATTGAACATTACACCGAAAAGAAGATGGAGCTACAAGTATTAAAATCATTATAGACAACAAATTAAACAATAAACATTTTTCAAACATTATTTGTTATTTTTCAGACATTAAGTACTTATAAACAAAAACATTATTATAAACCTAAAAGATCCGGTTACTTGCGTTTGGTTACCTTTGAACAGACTAAATCAAGAAATTGTTGCATGATTCGGTCAGTCACTCAATAAACTGAAAATTTCTACTTTATATAATTTCTGTAATTGAAGTTTACAAATCAAAGTAAATGTAACAACATGATTACGCTGTCAACAATTATTGCGCACGACTATATGTTGTAAATGCTTTTGTAAATTAATAATCTGAACCATAAAAAAATCTATTTTTATGTTTTTCATGAAACACACAAACATTATCATTAAAAATCGTCAATGAAAATTAAGTCCTGTGTTATTCAAAGCACAAGAAATATTGTTTTGTTCGAAGTTTCTCTAAAGTTTGGATGTATCAGCAGTTTTCTCTATTGTAGATATTTCAACCATCTTTTCAATATGTATATCGTTGTTCCTGAAAATAAAACAAAGTGACTTATTTGTATTTATTATGTTTCCAGGCAATGTAATTTTGATATATTTAAGTTTTATTAAAGTACTGGTAAACTTAAGATTTATTTTTCTTGTACCTTCTAGCCTCTAAAGGTCGTAAAAGTCATATTTTAGCGTCCGTACATAACTTTTGAAGAATGCAATCAGTTTAAGCAAAACAAGGTGAAGAACATTTTCTTACACTTTCAGAAAACATATATGGAACCAAATATTATTTATACTTGTCGCCGACTAATCTATCCTGGTAATAGAAAGTTAAGGAAAACCTCTCTGCGTTTATCTTTAAAACTGTCATAGTTTCATGAAATTTTATGTACATGTATTTTCGTGATAGATATGCAATACTCGCCTGTATTTTCAAGCAAGTTTAATTTTTCACTGTAGCTTACAGAAAACTGGACATAATACACTGTTATTGGCGTAAATATTCTAAAGTAATACATGTATTCTTATGTTTGGATTCCATTTTTACTTATTTTCAACGAAAAGTTTGCTTTATAACCCAGGTATATATATGTTTTTACTAAATATGTATACGTGGTTAACACTGCAGTGATATTTTGTGACCCACATTGAAAACGGAACCTGAAAACTTAATAACGCTACAGTAAAATTAAGATACATGCATAACATATTATTCGAGTTCATACTTTCCAAAGTTTTTCCCATCTTCTATTGTTTCTGGAAGGTATCTGTTTAGTGTTTCTGGCAGAAATATTGCTGCTATACCGCCGACAATGGACAGGCTGCCAAAAACAAGTTGTGGTAATGCAACACCGAACTTGCCGCCAACCAATCTATCCTGGTAATAGAAAGTAAGCGTATGGTAAAATTAATACACGGTATGCCCGTTTTAAGTTTAATCACCTGGTTATTGAACTCAATTATCCGAAAGACATAACGTCTGGCTACAAATAAAATTTGAGATAGAGTTATATGTATACATTTATTCTTTATATAAACTAGTAAAAGCTATATGTGTTACATCTGGAAAGACGACTTCCCATGTTAGTTAACATGTACAGTTAAGCAAAAAAAAAAAATTAGCTGACAAACTAAAAATTTCACTTTAACCAAAACGCAACGTAACCGTACCAAATCTGCAATATACGGGGCAACCATGCCTCCTATACGAGCCATGCAAGAACTTGCCCCCATACCGGCGTTCCTTACAACTGTGGGAAACAATTCAGAAGAGAATATATACACGGTAGAAAATCCTGCAGATAATCCCATTTTTCCTATCAACGCAAGAACTGTTGTCACTACTGGTTTATCTGTAATGATATAAAACACATGAAATTCATGTAATTGTAAATAACAAATTCGATACTTGAAAAAAACTGCAATATTAATAATATAAATGTAAAACTGTTTTCAATTTTGTTTATAAAACGTCCACGGACATTTGAACTACATGTACATCGGAATGTTATTAAAACTCATTTTATTTAATCTGATCAATACTCAATTTTTTTCTAACAGAATTTGGTTTATGTTTCATTTTTTTTTCTCTTTTCTCAAAAAGACTTCAACGGGCATTGTAATAATTATGTTCTTATAAAAATATGCAACTTTTACATAAGACCTAGCCACTTGGCATAGATGGATTCAACAACACATTATTTGGTAACTTAAAGATTCTTTATAGCATTTACATGTTACCATAAAGACTTTTCGAAACATGTTGTTGTATTGCAATGCTAATTTGCATTCATATAGATTCTTATAACTTGGCCAATCAAAATATTGCCAGTGGTATAATGACTCGTACAAACCTGGTAAATACAACAGAGTGAATATTGTCCCTATCAAAGCGACGCCACCAATTAGCATACTTCCTATCATCACAGGCTTTCTTCCAACTCTGTCCAGTATCAGTAGACATAAAATGTTGGCCGGAAGTTCAACGAGGGATTGCAACATGAAATTGAGATACAAGTCATCTCCAAGGTCGCCGATGTTGAACGTTAGTCCGTAATATCCCAAACATACAACCAACCTGTCGGTAAAACATGTCACGATATACAAGGTGAACGCTAGTCCTTAATATCCCAAACAAACAACCAACCTGTCGTTAAAACATGTCACGATATACAAAGTGAACGCTAGTCCGTAATATCCCAAACACACAACCAACCTGTCGGTAAAACATGTCAGAATATACAAGCTAGTCCGTAATATCCCAAACACACAACCAACCTGTCGGTAAAACATGTCACGATATACAAGGTGAACGCTAGTCCGTAATATCCCAAACAGACAACCAAACTGTCGATAAAACATGTCACGATATACAAGGTGAACGCTAGTCCGTAATATCCCAAACATACAACCAACCTGTCGGTAAAACATGTCACGATATACAAGGTGAACGCTAGTCCGTAATATCCCAAACAGACAACCAACCTGTCGGTAAAACATGTCACGATATACAAGGTGAACGCTAGTCCGTAATATCCCAAACACACAACCAACCTGTCGGTAAAACATGTCACGATATACAAGGTGAACGCTAGTCCGTAATATCCCAACATACAACTAACCTGTCGGTAAAACATGTCAGAATATACAAGGTGAACGCTAGTCCGTAATATCCCAAACACACAACCAACCTGTCGATAAAACATGTCAGAATATACAAGGTGAACGTTAGTCCGTAATATCCCAAACATACAACCAACCTGTTCGGTAAAACATGTCACGATATACAAGGTGAACGCTAGTCCGTAATATCCCAAACACACAACCAACCTGTCGGTAAAACATGTCACGATATACAAGCTAGTCCGTAATATCCCAAACATACAACCAACCTGTCGGTAAAACATGTCACGATATACAAGGTGAACGCTAGTCCGTAATATCCCAAACATACAACCAACCTGTCGGTAAAAATGTCACGATATACAAGGTGAAAGCTAGTCCGTAATATCCAAACACACAACCAACCTGTCGGTTAAAACATGTCACGATATACAAGCTAGTCCGTAATATCCCAAACACACAACAACCTGTCGGTAAAACATGTCACGATATACAAGGTGAACGCTAGTCCGTAATATCCCAAACATACAACAACCTGTCGGTAAAACATGTCACGAATATACAAGGTGAACGCTAGTCCGTAATATCCCAAACATACAACCAACCTGTCGGTAAAACATGTCAGAATATACAAGGTGAACGCTAGTCCCGTAATATCCCAAACATACAACCAACCTGTCGGTAAAACATGTCACGATATACAAGGTGAACGCTAGTCCGTAATATCCCAAACACACAACCAACCTGTCGGTAAAACATGTCAGAATATACAAGCTAGTCCGTAATATTCCAAACACACAACCAACCTTTCGGTAAAACATGTCACAATATACAAGCTAGTCCGTAATATTCCAAACACACAACCAACCTGTCGGTAAAACATGTCACGATATACAAGGTGAACGTTAGTCCGTAATATCTCAAACATACAACTAACCTGTCGGTAAAACATGTCACGATATACAAGGTGAACGTTAGTCCGTAATATTCCAAACACACAACCAACCTGTCGGTAAAACATGTCACGATATACAAGGTGAACGCTAGTCCGTAATATCCCAAACACACAACCAACCTGTCGGTAAAACATGTCACGATATACAAGGTGAACGCTAGTCCGTAATATCCCAAACATACAACCAACCTGTCGGTAAAACATGTCACGATATACAAGGTGAACGTTAGTCCGTAATATCCCAAACATACAACCAACCTGTCGGTAAAACATGTCACGATATACAATGTGAAGATTTGTTTACAATCAATCTAACTAAAGTTCACATATTCTTTTTACATATACAATGTAGTCAAAATATATTGACGTGGCAAAGCTTATGTTTTTGTTCTTGGTTAGAATTTCAGAAATTTTGTCCATTAATTTGGTTGTTTATTATCATTTTATAACGTTTCATACATGAGAATACAAGGAAAGGCATTATCTATCTAAACGATTTACGGAAATAATGTTATAGAGTATAAGTATCAATCACATAAATTAATCTAGCATAATTATCATTTGGACATCCAATTCCACTAAAGTTATATACATGTATAATACAATGGTTACTAATATGCGACTTTGAATTATTATTGAGTATAGTATATAAAATGTATGTCTTATGTTAGTTATGTACCATATTATAAAGATCAGCATGGTCCGGACGCACATTGTCTTATTAGAGAAAAGGTCCCAAATCTGACCCTGAGTTGGTCCTTGTTCTTCCTCTACAGCTAATACTTTGTCAAAGAATTTTTCCGGAAGTTTTACTTTATTCCATCTCGCCCAGCGTTTAATGACAGATTTTGCTTCATCGGTCCTTCCTCGTGTACAAAGCCATCGGGCGGACTCTGGAAACACGCTTTTACTGCAACATAAAGAAACAAGAATTATTGCAAAGACGTTGTTAATTAATGCGTCGAAACAATCATTCATCCAAAAACTAAGATAAAAGTGTATTGTGTTGAAATAATGAATCCGAGACACAAGTGTTTAACTTGTATTATGAGTTTTTGAATCGTTACAGACGATATGCCTTTGATTAAAATAAAATTAGCCCTTGCCCCTAGGTCATTCCTGTAACGACATGTCTCGTTTCTTTACATAAAAATATAACATTGCCTTAATAGAGCAGTACTTTCTATTAAAGTCTGCCACATATTTTTAGTTGCTGTTATTTTTCAGTTACAATACATGAATATTCTGTTGCATTTCCGAACATGTGTAACATACAAATGATTTTCAGTATAACAGCCAATAAATATTCTACAAAAATTGCACGTTAGGTCAAACAATTCAAACATGAGGAAATAATAAAGATACTCACAACCACAATGGTAGATATATAATTCCTGGTAGAGAAGCAACAATAAGCAAAGTACTCCAGTCTCGAATACCGTAAGCTATCGCCGCAAGACCAATGTGCCCGAATGATGACATAAAAGATGATAAATAACCAGAAAATCTCCTCATAGACGGTCCAACGAATTCAATTTCTGTGAAATAAAAAAAAAATATATACGGAGTCTTACTCAATCTAGTCAGTAGAAGAACGGGCATTTATTATTCTACGATCAAAAGTTGATGGATAAAGATGAATTCGAGAGTCAACGTTGAATCAACATTTGCACTAGATCTAGCGTGTCGTTAAATATTGGTTGAACAACGTCACGGTGTTTTCAACGTTGAAACAAAATTGCGTACATGCATGTACGAGTATTACAGTAATAAGTTAGTGCAAAGAAAAAGAATAAAAAACGATAACAAATATCAAAATACTTATAACAAAAGATGGCATCCACTGTCCTACATTAAAGAATCCGACAAGAAATGTAAGAATCATGAAAACGATATAATTCGAACTCCAAGCCATCCCAAAAGAACAAAATAAAATAAGTGTGAGTGATGCGCACATTGTTGTTTTACGGCCAAACCTGAAATAAGATGAGATCAACAGTGTTAGTTCTTTCTATGGCTAATATACGTGCTGATAAAATAACGACGGCATTATAACGGTCTTGTTGTTTGTTAAAATGTAAAAGAAAAATGATACTGGTACCTAAGCAATTGTTCTATGCGTACTAAATAAGCATTTTACGAGTATAAGTTCTCAATCAGAAATCCATTTAACGAAATTGTTTATAACTGGTTTCTAACATAAAATAGAAAATAACTTAACAAACTAATATATACTTGTCAGAAAATATCCCGCTTAGCAATGATCCTGCAAAAATTCCTGCAAAATTGACCATCTGTGCATTTGACTTTAAGATCTTTTGGTCGCACACCATATTCAGCTAAGATGGAGATAAAAAACTTATTATAAAGTACATACATTTTAACAACCATTATATACAATTGTGTAACGCTTTTTCTGTTTTAACTTAAAAACGACGGGATTCAATTTACTTTCAATATTCAAACTTTACCTCAGCGCCTAGTGACGTCTTAAAGATGGACTTGTCATACACCCAACGTTCGCATTGTTCACGATGTTCCGTGCCATCGTCGTCAAGTTTTAGGTAATGACACTGGTCATATTTGTATTTTTCGGTGCTGGGAGCCAGGGGTATTGTTCTGTTTATTGCAGCAAGGTGTGTATCATCCTGTATGGCATACGTATCATTATCCCATCCAGGTATAGCACACCTACATCACATAAAACGGTTCGTGTATATAAACAGAGCTATTGTCATTTAATTTCATTATTTCATATCAAGTGATGATATGAATAGAAAGTCGTCTGCCAACCACCGAAAAAAAAAAGAATTTTTTTTTTATTTATTATCCTCCATAATACATGAAGATTTGAACAATTACACAACCAGTTTTTAAATAACTACAGACAGAACAAGTAGACAAATGTGATATATACATTACAAGACAGAATATAGATAAACAAATGCAAGTAATCTATAAAATGTATACATTGGACAGCACAATTATATGATTTGCCCTTAACTGAAAAGTATAGCACTGAATTAGAATTAAGACGTGGAAAAAATGCTTGTATATGATTTAGACTTCCCTCTAACCCTAGCTAGTACGAAAATGAAACACTAGGAAATAGAGAGCAGTGAAATAAATCTACAAGTTTTAATTCAATGACATTTTTATGAAAACCTAGACCAGTCCACTAGATAATCGAAATGTCTTTTTCATAAACAATATAAATAAACAAGATACTAATAACAAATCAAGCAGATCTAATTTATGATTGAAATAAATAGAGGATATTCAAGTTTTTCTATAAAAATGAGTGGTATGAAATATGATAATTTTGGTATTACAAGATGAAAATAAATCCTGTATTTATAGAAGAAAACTTTAATTTTCTGTTTATTATGTACTTTTTCTCAGTTTTGACCTTATAATTCTTAAAACCTCTACTTTAAATTTGTGCTAAATTAAGAAGAAAGTAGTCCGGCAAGAAACAAGCGAAAATACGGAAATTATGTTTCACTGCAATGATAAATAATGTTTACACTGAAAATATGGAAAATGAAAATAAGCATTTTATTTCATCATCAAAAAAATCTCAATATCTCATTTATAAGTATATAACAGATTTTTTATACATTCATTCGCGTGCATGATCATATTCTATCTATTTCAATATTTAAAAAAAATCTGCAAGCGAGATAAGTTAAAAAAAAAAATAATTATGTGTATTTAAATTATTGAAATAATAATTTGATTGTTCATTTAAATATTATTTCAAACGCATTTTTAATTCAATTTATTTTGCATTTGGAAATACATGTACACACCGTCTGAAAAAAAAGATTTAATTTTCAACTAAATTTATTGTGCAATAATTTTTTTTGCAATAGAAATAAGTGATTTATAGTAGTTTCACCTGTGTTCTGGAATAGCCAGTACAAAAAATGACGTTAAAATTAGAAGTCCTGCGTACACACTAGTTGAGGACGCCACCCAGACCACCCAACGCTGAAAACGTCCGTATTCACCAATCTCTTTGTATATCAAATCAAACTGCATTGTTCAAAACAAAAATTAAATGATCTATCATCTAAATTACAAAATCATTTCGTTCTAGAATCAGTGATGACTTAATTTGTTATGTTCTACAAATACTGTCTCTCGTAAAAGTTATTATAAATTGATATTGATACCTATAAGACCTACTTACTTAATCTTATCTTAAACATTACTTAGTGCAACTAATTAATTGTAAACATAAATACTGATGTCTCCAAATACCTGTTACATTCAAACTCGTGTTGTTAAATAACACATTACAATGTTGCCGGGAAATAGCGTATCATAAACGTCCAAAAATATGGGGTGAATTTTCTGCTTACAACATAGCTAGATGACATTTGGGTCACATTTATTTATTGATGAAATAACATAGGTGTTTTTAATATGTATGGGGAATTAGTGGAGGTTTCACATTTGACTCATTTTAAAGGACTGACGTCCAAACGCATAACAAATGGAATTTCTTTTACAGATCAGCTGGGGTTCTTAAAGAAGAAAGATAAACAAAAGTTATTAAGAAAGATGTTCAGAAACAAATTAAAGATCGTGATTTTGTGTTATTCTTAGCTTGTTTTGAGGGAAAAGCGTTTTAACGCTTTTTTTGTCATTTTTCACAATTAAAATAATCATTCTGGAAAAACGGAGTGAGCAAATGATCTGAAAATTGTCACACAATCTATTGGTCTGGATCTACATCAAATGGGACATTCATTTCAAAAACTATTTCCAGTCTTGTCATGTCAAAAAAAACCTAGCTCTTATAATAAGTTGAAAAGTTAAATACATGTAAAGCTGAATTAATGTCTGTCATAAGGTCTGTAATACATTAATAAATAATTACGGTTATACATGTAGTGTTTATAGTATCCGACAAACCATAAATTATGGTGGCTGATTTGGAACGCTTTTGTGTGTCGTGTTGGCGCTAGCGACAACACGACAAAGCGATTAACGGCGCGTTGTCGGACTTTCATCTGTCGCTAACGATGCACGCCAAACGGCGCGCTGTCGTGCGGCATGTTGTCGCGATGTTACATTGTCGCTCGGTTCAAATCGAAGGATTGGCTTATAAGCCAAGCGACAGGGCGATATCGCGACAACGCGCCGCACGAAATTGCGCCGTTTGGTGTGACAGTGCGATAACGTTCTGCGCTTTGTCGTGTTCATTGTCGCTAGCGACAAGACGAAAGGCGATAACGATATAGGTTGTGTTGTCGCTAACGACAACGCAACGCGCGGTGTTCCAAATCAACCACCATAATAAATGGATGTTAATTGTTGGCAAGATTAAGTTCTAAACTTCCGTGCATATATTTATATAGCAGATGATAAATTGTTCTAGAACAAAACATTATTTTCATCATGTAATTATATAAGTGTTCATGCTATAAATCATTTAATTAGAACTTTATCAAGAAAAAATTAAGCAATATTTTATATAAAAATATCAAAATGATGCATTTCAGATCTATTTATTATTTTTATCAATATATGAAATTCACCCCCTTGTAGACCTAGCTTTTAATAAACAAACAAATTTGAACTACTTATTAAAACAAAAAAGTTATTCTTAAGGGAAAAAAAGAAGCAGCTAGTATATACAATGGATATTGACTACATATACAAAATATAACTCGATCGATGTGATGTGTACAACCGAAAACGGTAAATTTATTCATTTATTAACATTATATATAATCATACCGTAAATTATACATATCATGATGTAAAACATGGAAAATCTCTAATCTAAAATTGTGTGTTTCATGTTGTCTATGTAAGAAGAAAGATGAGGAACCTTTATCTCTGCCTTTAATAAATTCAGTTTGACTATTTGTATACATTATATCATTCGATCATTCTTTTACATGACGTATTTATAATAATAATAATAATAATAATAATAATAATAAATAATGATAATAATAATAATAATAATAATAGAGCTCTAATAATAATAATAATAATAATAATAATAATAAATAAATAAATAAATAAATAAATAAATAAATAAATAAATAAATAATAATAATAATAATAATAATAATAATAATAATAATAATAATAATAATAATAATAATTAATAATAATAATAATAATAATAATAATAATAATAATAATAATAATAATAATAATAATAAAATAATACCCGGTACTATACTGTAATGGTTTTCTATTTGTTGTATTCAACATATCTGGTAAGTTTTTATTTTTCGTGTTTTTTGTTTTTGTTTTTTGTTGCGTTTTTTTTAAACAAAAATTATCTCATTTTGTATAATAAAATGTGATACTACTTATCATGAAATATTAAGAAAATGTTTAACAATGAATACTTTCTTTGATTATTAATAACGGAACTTTCTTTGTTTTTTTTTTTTTCAGTTTCAGTATAAAATGAAAATGTGCGAAATCATGAGAGCGAAAAGTAATGAGTACGAAGTGTCTTACATAGGAAGAGTATTCTCGTTAAAATTCATTGTTGTTTACATATTTCACTTGGAGTAATAACAATTATTTTGCTGCAGAAATGAGCCGTTCAGGGCATGAAATAAAGGATAGGTATGTAAATTTCGAAAAGTTCGGGTTTAGAAGAATGTCTATCAAAACCTTATTTTGTTAAAAAATGATTTTTGTCATGCTTGAACCTGTTCCGTGTTTGACAGTTTTCAGTTTCAGAGTAATCGACCATATTATTTTGATTCTGAGCCATATAGTTACATAGTATTTGCAGCACTATTGTATATTAATATGATACTCTGTTTAATGAATATGATACTCAGTCTCAGTTTAATATTTTCTGCCTTACATCATAAGCCTAAAAGCCCTAATTAATTTGCCATGATTGATTGGTAATGTAACGATTCGCCACACTAACGATTCGCCACATAACGATTCGACACAGAGTAATAACGATTCGCCACAGTTAAATAACGATTCGCCACATGTTCAAATACGAACTTTTTCACACCTGTTTTCAAACTGTTGATGGAAAACTTTTTTCCATTTTTAGCTCGACTTTTCTATGAAAAGGGGAGCTATCCTACTCGCCCCGGCGTCGGCGTCGGCGTTAGCGTTGGCGTCACACCTTGGTTAAGTTTTTCGTACCACCCCACTTTATTTCAGAAGTATTAACAAGTATGGCTTTGAAAACTTACATACTTGTTCACCATCATAACCTCCATCTACAGACAAGAGTACATAACTCTGTCAAGGTTTTTGACAGAATTATGGCCCTTTTTTGACTTAGAAAGTGTATTGAGCTTGGTTAAGTTTTTTGTACCACCTCACTTTATTTCAAAACCATTGGAGGTATTGCTTTGAAACTGACCATACTTGTTTACCATCACGACCTTCATCAACAGACAAGAGGACATAACTCTGTGAAGGTTTTTGACAGAATTATGCCCCTTTTTGACTTAGAAAATACATTGAATATGGGTAAAATCCACTTATTGCCTTAACCCTTTGAGATATTGCTTTGAAACTTTTAATGCTATTTCACATCATTACCCCCATCTGTACGCAAGAGAAGGTAACTCTGTCAAGGATTTGTTTTAAAAATTAAGGCCTTTTATCGACTTAGAATCTTGGTTAAGTTTTTAGTACCAGTCCACTTTTTGACTGAACTGTTTGAGATATTAATTTGAAAGTTGGAATACTTGTTTACCATCATGGTCCCAAAACATGGGCAGGAGAAGGTAATTCTGTTAAGGATTTTATTTGAATTATGGCCTTTTTGACTTAGAAACTCAGTTAAGATTTTCATTCTTGTCCACTTGTTGACTTAACCATTTGAGATATTACTTTGGAAGTTGGAGTTCTTATGTGCCATCATGAGACCTATCTGTAAGCAAGAGAAGATAACTCTGTGAAAATGTTTCTTGATTTGTACTTAGAAATTCCTAGTTAAAGTCTTGTGTGCCCTTAACTGTCAAAGTTTTGTTTTATAGGCAAGCACTAAAAAAGTCGAGCGCGCTGTCCTTCTGACAGCTCTTGTATATTTCATTTGTTAATTACATAAATTAATTACACTGAATAAAGCTTTTATTGAATAAAAAACACACGAAAACCAAATATTTTACTAACAAAATTACATAACTTCGTTATTGATATAAACTTGAAAAATATACTAACAACCTTTATAGAATAAAAACACATGAAATAAATATTTTATTAACAAAATTACATAACACATTTTATAACTTCGTTATTTATATATAAACTGGAAAAATATAATAACAAACATTTATAGAATAAAAACACATGAAAATAAATATTTTATTACCAAAATTACATCACACATTGTAGATGAGAAAAACTTCGTTATTTATATAAACTGGAAAATTATACGAAAACAGCTTTTATTGAATAAAGACACATGAATATTTATTACCAAAATTACATTACACATTGTAGATCTATAAGTTAAACTTCGTTATTTATATAAACTGTAAAATAAAAAGAAAACAGCTTTAATTGAATAAATGAAAATAAATATATTTTATTACCAAAATTACATTACTGTACACATTTTAGATAAGTTATTTATATAACTAACATATTTTATTACAAAATTTACATACATAAGCTTAATTGCCGCATTGTTTTGAAATCTGCTCACATTGTCAGATAATTAAAGGATTATTTCGGCGTCAATTAAATATTTATACAATTTAAGGTGATTGGCTTGTTAAAATAAAAGGTGTGACAAATGTTTTAGATATGCGTTCTTTAATCAATTATCGTAAATCAATTTTCGTAATGATCACATGTTTTTGCAATATTTTTTTTTATTATTTGACATATATATAATATATGAAATATATATTTATTTCTATGAATGATAATGATATTGTGATGTTTTTTGTTCCTTTATTTGTAGCTGTCTGTTCTCCGTAAGAATGTCATCAGTTAAAACTTTTTATGTTCTTCTTATTATTTTTTTCTTTGCTTTGGTCATGTGACCACAGAATTATTATATTTGTAATTATTGTATGTAACGAGATCATAGGCACTTGGTTTCGGGATAAAAAGCCTTTTGAAGGGTTTGTATGACTCAAATTTGATTGAATGTAACGATTTTTTAACGTATATGTCTCGATTCTAAATTCGACATTTTTCCGATATTACTAAAAAAACACGTGTTTTTTTTAGTAATATCGGAAAAATGTCGAATTTAGAATCGAGACATATAATTACGTTAAAAAATCGTTACATTCAATCAAATTTGAGTCATACAAACCCTTCAAAAGGCTTTTTATCCCGAAACCAAGTGCCTATGAACGAGATATACTGTAAATGTATAAGTTACCGAAATAAACTATTTCTTCTCTTCTTCTTATATTAATTGACATTTATGTTTATGATTAATCAACATATATAATTACTTTCTTGTAAATGTACTCCTGTAATAATGTTACTTTGATAAATTGAAAATCCGCGATGGGGGCTTTAAGTTCATGTTACTTGTATTAAGAAACATTATTAAATTATTGTCATTGTCAAATTATTAAAACGAAAGGAAAAAGTTTGTTGATAACTATAAAAATCATTGTTAGATCTATAATCATACTGTGGCGAATCGTTATTTAACTGTGGCGAATCGTTATTACTCTTAGGCGAATCGTTATGTGGCGAATAGTTAGTGTGGCGAATCGTTACTAATTCGATTGATTTGACTCATTTTATCTAGCTATCTATCCTCCACTAATGTGAAACCCCTCGCGGTGAAAAAGACATGTCTGTGTGTCAGAATTCGCAAGAAAATTAGAAAGAGTTGTTTGATAAGAGGATAAAAGAATATTAAAAATTTTAAGTAAAAAACAGGAGGCTGGAAAACTGTGGTGATACATCATTACATGTTCAATGCAAGCTATGTCTGCTCTAGGGTAGGGAGAAGGCAACTTCAGGGGGTAGGTGGTTCCAGTGGTATACTGTCCTAGGAAAGAAAGAGAATTTATAATAGTCTGAAGTTGCTGTGAACCGATAACCTATAAAACAGGTGATGGCGTGAATTTCTGGAGAGGGGTGCCGGAAATTCTTCTATGGCGGGATAGCAAACAGACCATGGTGAATCTTATAAAAAAGGGATAACCTAGCATTTACACATCTGAGTTCCAGTTTTACAAAGCTTAAGGGAGTGAAATGTCAGAAAATCACTTAACTAAGAACTAGAAACACACCTTTCTCACCAAAACTGTTGAATTATTGAAAAAAGTTTCATAAAAATCCAGTTTGATAAATTTTGAGTCACAAAATGACAAATAAAAGCTAATACATGAAAAAGAAAGAGTAGTTAGCATTAATAAGCCTTAAAGCTACATGCCTCCAGATGAGTCAGAATATTTTAATAAAATCAAACTTGAGGAAAATGTACTAAGATGTAAGGAAAAATAAAAAGTTCAAAGAGTCTAGTAATATTTCACATATTATGTGCGATTAATGACTGATTTTTCAGTATTTACAACTATAATTCTACTGCGTTACTAACGCAGTAAAGGATATTTATGCATATTATGACCACTTTTTGGTAATAAACGTGGTTTGTAAGTGCCATTGATAATGTGTAAATTGCTTCCTTTTGGTTACTTCACAATATTACACATTCAAATACATTTTAAAAAATTTCATGAAAATTAGCATGAATCTGGAGGCGTGCTGCTTTAATATCCATGTTTCCTTGTATATTGAATAATGTAATGTCAACAGATTATCTTTTGTATGAAAATATTTTTTTTTTTCAAAGAATTAAAAATCAACAACAACATTAAAGCTTACTTATGATTGGGAATATTTCATTTCTCATTTGGGAAAAAACAAACCTTTTGGCATTGGAAATGCCAGTAGTAATTTTTATACAAAAAAAGAAAGCTGAATATCTACCTGGCAGGATCAAGGTATCAAAATATTATCTTACCAGTCACACTGTGTACATAATATATGATTTATGCAGTAGTTGGTCATTTACAGATGTCTGGTGATAGTGTCAATCAATATTATAAAGATAACTACAGTCTACTTGGGCAGTTAAGGTCTGTGGCCAAATGGTTAAATGCCTCATACTTCCACTCCCTTTGCTGATCAGTACTGTGGATTTGAATCCTGTAATAGACTTTGGACTTTTTCATATACAGGTCAGTGGTTCCACTCTGGTGCTAGTTTGAGTCCGAAATCAAGTACAGAGAGGCATCTCATTCTGAGGCTCAAAAAGTAAACCTAGAATGTTACCATATGAACTAAACAGTATCACTGTGACAGGCACAGAAGATTACTACTTATAATATATATTAGTGTAAAACTAAGGTATATGTTTAATGGTTCACTACATCATATGAGTATATGAGTATATAAGACTTGTTGCAAATCATTTTAGAATAAACTGGTAAGTTACAACATTTTTCATGATTGCATATTTATTGTTGGCAGACTTGATTCTCAGACATCTCCACCAGTAGAAATAGTGCCAGTGGAGAGTTCTTCACATACACATTTGTCGTAAGTTGTCACAACTTAGGTGGTGTGCTGTGTCATTTTAGATTTTAACTTTTATAATATCTCCTGAGTGTAGCTGTGATTTTGACAATACTAAAATTAGAATTATAAGTTAATTTCCTCTCTACCCAATCACCTCTAGAAAATATCTTCTTTGTATTACTATTAAATGCCATTGTTAGGCTGAAATCTTATTTCTTCTGTGGAAAATTTAATACAAGGAGTATGACTTTTTCTTAGGCAATCCCCTTCTATCTAAAAAAATGCAAATTTAGAATGGTATAGTCGTATTAATGTTAAAAAACTAACAAAAAGGATGATAGTTGACTTAACTTGTAAAGTTTTTAAAGCCATTGGCCTCCAGAATGGTAAAATGAATAAAAAAATTTACAACTGGTGTAGTTGGGTGCAATGTGTAAATTCATTATTACTGACTTCTTAACAAAATTGACAATAAAACATGATTATTCTTTTTATAATCTACTGTGTTACTATTGCAGTAGCGAATATAGATAGAAAAGATAATTTATCCAACGTGGTCATGTCACAACAGTGATTGGAAAAAATGCTGGAATCTGGTACACCTGAAATCCGAGATAGTATTTCAATGTTAGTAAATGTGTAGCTTCTGTAGCTCTTATCATATTTAAAGTTTTGCGGAGATTAGAGTTATAATTACTTTTTAGGCTTAAATGCCAATGTCCGGTTCATTTTAAGAAAAAAAAAATGAACCTGTACCATTTCTTTCCCCTAAAAACTTAATGACAATACTAATAAAAGGTGTGTTGTTTTTTTTGTTCAAAGACTAACAGATAGGAAAAAACTTATGAAAATAAATAATTCTGAGAGCATTATTAAGATGACAGAGTTAACTCTGTCTGTAATACTGTGTGTGTGGGTGTTAAAAACTACAGCAACTTACAAGTTGTAAAATACAGTTCATTGTAGTTGGTTTAAAGGTTGCACTTTAATCATACTTCCTATTATTTGTTCATTTAAAGTTCAAAAGAATATCTTCATCTTAGTGTTTTTCTTTAAAACAGTATATAAAATGAGTGCAATTATACAAAATGGGACATTAAACCAGAATTTCCAACTTTTAAGATTCCATAAATGGATGTTCAAAAATGCGCTCAACACCAAAAGTGATTTTTTTTAAATCATTTTACAATCCGATAATACCATTTCATTTTAATCACCAACTTTTAGTAGAATCTGTTACATTTTAGTTGATGTTAACTCATTGGAACCCTTACATTAATCCCCAATTTTAGTTCAAATTACCTTTTCCCTTCTCAACAATAGTATTTGGTACGGACACACTATTCCCAACAGTAGAAAAAAGCCGGGCATCGTAATTTTGAAATAATGCCTTTTAAACAGTGAAATAAATTTTTAAATGTATAGTGCAATTCAGTGTTTAAATTATACATAGTTCTTAATTTGTACATGACACCAAGGATGAATATCATTATTAAAAGCATGATCATTATGAATTACGGATTGTATCTATGAAATAGAATTACTCTCCCAACATTTTTGATTTGTCAAAGTTACTTAAACTTGCATTTTTAAAATGTGGTTGTAATACTGATTAATTGTTGCATAGACTTTCCTAGGAAACATGTAAGTTATTTCTATTGGATTCCACTCACTTGTAGATGCCTTAACCCTTTGTTGATGAAGATTTTGTTGCAACAATGCTTTTACAAAAAGTCTCCAACAGATAAATTTGCTTGTATCTGACAACTTACTTAAAACCCACAATCAAACTTGGCAGATTTTTGGCTGGCCATTGTTTGAACAAAAAATCTCAGTTAAATTTCTGTTAATGCAACATGGGTGCATTCAAAATTGCCAAAAACACTATTTATCTTGATTTTTTACATTTTTTAAATGTCTTTCAAGGATTAGATAGATAATTAAATGTTAATTCTTATGATCCATTTCTTTGAAACTTCACGAGTCACAAAATTTGTTTAATGAACTCTGCCTTAACAAACGGGGCCCCCCTTCTGGTCCCCGATGTAGTCATTAAGTTGCTAAAAAACTCAAACATTTTTTAACAGATTTTATACGAATTAATTGTTTCAAAAAGCTTTTTCTCTTTGGAAATAAAAATTAAAAAGCGTTAAAAGGCCGTTGTCTTTGAAAGATTGCTTAATATCCATTAAAAGTTTTTTATTATATCTTTTTCCAGATGATTATGTTTCATATTTACTACCTTGATCCCTATAGAATATCTTTAGAATTAAATTTAAAAAAAACAAAACCCAATACATTCTAATTATTTGTCTTTTCTAACCAATAAAGTGTTTCTCAGAAAATACTAATGTTGTAATTGAATTTCATTTTTGTTATAGCTACATATACCGTAGCATTATGTGACATTGTTCAGTTCAGTTTCCTTATGTTATGAAAGTTATCCAGAGAATGATTTTAGCTGTTACAATAGCAATATACTGGTAACAAAATAGTAAAAAATAGTTAAAAAATAACAGAAACAAAAGTGTTTTTTTTTGTAAATTTTTTCAAATCCAGAACTATAGTACTTTGAATTTAAGTAAAGTATTTTAATGAGTCTGGAATTGACTTATCTAATGACTTGATCTTAAATTTTAGATCAGAAGTGGCACATAAACTAATACATGTACATGTAAGGGTGTCCTTGATTGCAATAAAGTAGGCCATGTTTAAATGTTTCTTTGCATATATTACAGTGAAAGCCAGTCAAAGTTTATTCAGGACAGAATAACGGCCACAGAGAAACATTTTGGTCAGTTATGTGAAACGTTCTCCTCTTACACACGCAAGACTGCGAGACTCAGAGATAAAGGTACAATTTATTATATAATAAATTGATTTACTGTTAACCAAATTTAGACTAGATTACATTGTTTGGATCTTCGTTAGAAAGGGAGATGTTTTTTTTAACCAATAATTGGTGGCCAGTTGTTTAGAAAAGCTTTTTTTGTTGTACAAGTACATCAATTTGCTTATGCGTTATTCACATTTTAAAGTATAAATGTGCAGATATCTTTAACATGTCCTTAATGACATAAAATTTTGGTAACTTTTAGGCTTTTTCCCTAGGATTTTAATGAGATAGGCCCCAATTTGTTTGTTCTTTGCTCTTGTAGCAGATATGATGATTGTTTAAATTTAAAATGAAACTATCTGGCTACCTTACTGAAGGTTGTTTAATAGTTCCACCTATGTACCTGCATGTTCTTAAAATAACTAGTGAAGACATATTTTTAGGTTTTTCTCCATTGATGTCTTAAGTTCTGATGTGAAACACAGCAAAAGAAAAAGAAGATATTTCAGAACAGTTTACTTAAATTTGAAAAAAAAAATGTATGTGTAGCAAAGAATGTAGCAAATATTGTCAGCAATATTTACACATATTTATGCTGTTATTGATACACATTTTTCTAATTGATCACTTGATCACTTTAATAAGTAAAGTATTACAAACATTATTTCAGGTGACCAGATATCGAAGGATTTAATCAGTTATGTAGATGGAGAAACATTGAATCCTTCAGCTAAACAACATTTCTCTGATTTTGCACATGACCTCTCTACCATACAAGACTACAGAAATGCTCAAGTAAGAAATGATATCTCACAATTATGTCAGTTTTTTTTGTAAAAAGTTAAATGCATCATATGTTACTTTATTTGTATCAACTGAGCTCATTTTCAGAGGATGCTAAATCCTTATCATATGTCATCGTTTCCTCTTGCATATGTCAAAGAAATACATTAGCCATATGTGTTTCAATATAGTTTTTGTCATATATATAAACCAGAACAGAAAACTTCCAAAAATATGTACATAGCAATTAATTTCCTGAAAAATGATCATTAATTTTTTGTATTTCATGAAAAGCACTTTAAAAAAAATGTCTTTTGTGCCTGTTTCATAACAAATTCTACTTTTTAAGTTATATTTGTTTTATAAAAATCACTTATTTTTCGTCTAGTCAGAATATAAACTATGTGCAGTAATCACTTTCCCTGATCAGTAAATGAATGTTGTGTGACACAGTTACTGTGAGGGATGGGGGCCGGAATGCTGAATATAATAAGTGTTTATAAATGATCTTTTAAGAAAACAAATTGTCTTCTGTTAGTATTTTGATTAGGTGCTGTTTTATCTTAAAGATGTGAATAAAGGTAACACATAATTGAACCTGCTATTGCATCAGTACACAAACAATACCATTTAGATTTTCGCTACAAGTTTTCAATGTTTAAGTCTGCCTGCTTAACTCGGGGAGAGCACCAAATTTGGGGTGGCTGGCCAAAGGAAATTTCTTCATGACATAAATCTCTGACATTGAGTCTAATGGCCATTGTCTCTCACCATTTATTCAGAAGTCGTGGAATTACATTGTAGTAATTAGTTACATAAGGAGATTTACCATATATATTCTAGGGAAAACTAGTTTGGTTGACCTACAGTTAAGATATGACTTAAAGTTTGTTTAAATTGCATTGGCAAACAAAGAAACAAGTCCTTAATTACTTAAGTATTCTTTTGGATAGTTAGAAATAGTTCTCTTTAGTCCATTTCAACTTCATAAGTGGTTGCCTATATAATTATATGCCCTTTCTGTCAGTTATACTCTCTCCTATGATAACATTATCATATGATTTTGTTTTTAATTATTGATATAAATATAGTACTACTTATTTCATTTAGAGTTTTATGGGTATCTCATTTATGAATGTATACGTAGACTTAAACATTTTATCTTTAATGCCTTTCAGGTAACACGACTTGAGTCAAAAGTTCAGCAACCTTTAAGCAATTATGGACTTAAGTGTAAACATACAAAAGCTGACCTTAAGGCAGCATTTGCTGCCCGAGATAAGGAAACTAAAATACGCAAAAAATTGGATGTGGCTAGAACAAAAGGTGATACACGCCATATAGCAACTTTAGAGACTGATTTACAACGTGCCAGTGTAGATGCCTCACGAACTACAAAAAATCTGGAGCAGCAATCAGACAAATTTGAACTGGAGAAATTACAAGACGCAAAGGTATGATACCATATCCTGCCTAGAGTTTGATATAGTTATTGACTTCAATACAACTAAAACTATTACTTTGAAACTTCATATAATGATACACCTTGATCTTTATTACCTGTAATTTTGATTTTAAGGTTAAAGGTCAACGTTACTGTAACCTTTAATAGATGATAGGTTAAATAAGGTTGCTTTTATGAGAAACTACCAAATCTATTCACTACAAACTTAGTTAACTTGTTCATAATTATCATGTGATGCAATGTCTAGGGAATGATAGAGTTTATGTTGTCAATTATAATGGCTTTAAGCCTTATTACATGGCATATTTCAAATAGCAGGTGTTGTTGATAATTTTTCAAATGCATTAGAATCAAGGGGAATGATTTCAACTCTTTATGAATAACTATACCTGATAATACTCTTTGATTTTACTGTTGTATAATTTCTGTTTCAGAAAATAATGACAGATTTTGTGATGATAGAGATGGCTTTTCATGCTAAAGCTTTAGAAGTATATTCTCAGTGTTACAAAACTTTAAATGAAATAAGTGTGGACACAGATATCAGGGTATGTCAAAATTAGAAAATAACATTTCATTTGATTTTTTAGTACAATTTACAACTTACATGTGTATATAATAATCATATCTGATGTGACATTTTGTAAACTGCAGTGTGTTTTTAATATATTGTTATTTCTCGATTATGTTTAGCAAACTTAAATAAACATGAGATCCCTGTTAGGGTGATTTTAAATATGTTTACAAAAAAATGGTAATGTTTACCAAAGCATGGGAAATTGTTTTTATTTACAACGATTAATTTTTACATGGGGTACACATGTATAATGACTTTAGTAAGTATTTATATCTACATAGTCTTTGTTCTTTAATTGAAAATTGAATGTATTGCATGGCTTCGCTGTTGAGGAACATTGTGTTATATATGATTTTATTACAGGAGTTTCGAACTAAGATGCGACCATCAAGTAGTTCAGCACGTATGACTATGGCAAGATCTGGATCTGTATCATCTGTTAACTCTAGTACAGTTCATGAGAACACACCACGGGCTGATTTAAGAGGCTCTCCACACAGACAACAGTCACCACAGAGGCAACAACAGCCGAGATCTACTGCAAATGGTGTAGGAGTAAGTAAATAGAATTAAAATTTCTTACTTTACTGGGTGGAAGTAGTCCATAGAGGATTTACTGGATAAAGTAGGATATGCTGTCATAGAGGGAATGTACGAAATGTATAATCCTGAAATTCCAACCAAAATAAATACATTTTTGTTGACATCAAGAAAAAGTCCTTCAAGATATACAATGCATTTTTTTCAGAATTGTCTCAGTTTTTGATTTCTACAGCACTTTGTAACAAAATTTACATGTTGTGATATTTAGTTGTAGCTATTGTCAAAAGCTATTCTTCATTGCTTAAAATTGTAGGGGAGATGAAAAACATGGAAGTGAATTTTTATCCATCTTCGTAATGGAAATAGAACATGATGATGATATTTTGGTGAACATGATTGGTCCGATGATATTTTATTTTAGAACATAATGGATGATGATATTATGTTGTAGAACATGATGAATGAATTACATTATTTTATTGTAGAACATGATTGGTGATGATGATATTTTATTTTATTATAGAACATGATGGAAGATGATGATGATGAGAGTGAGGAAGGAACAGACGAGGAGGAGGAGACAGATGAGGAAGAAAGTGAGGAGGAGGAAACCGAGGCAGAGACAGAGAGAAGTCATCGAGTACAAACTATACAACCAGCCAGTAGAAGATAAACATTCATACTTCTATAAATTGTTATAAATCATTGTGATAAACTTTGTTTTTATGCCTCCATTGTGAGATTGGAGGTATATTGTTTTTGTTCCGTCTATAACTTATTCAGACAACATTAACCTTGCACATAACATCTTTTTAAAAGCTTCCTAGTAGATAAGAAACCTCTTCACAATTCAGGTATTCTTATATGGCTTTGATTAGATATGGCCTTGATCCAAAATGACATTGATTTATAAAATGACATTCGTCAAATGTTGCCTTAATGCAATATGACATCCAAAAGGCACGGTGTTGATGAACTTCATCTTCTTATTAGGTTTTTGTCATTTAATTATATAGCCTTACAGCTGATATTTAGATAGATAAAAAGTAAGAATCTCAGCCTCCAGATTAGTTATGTTGATTTTATTATATACCAGTATATAATTTTCTATATTAAATGCCTGTAAAATACAGTCTGACAGAAAAAATCTGAATCACTCTTGAGTGTGGCATTGCATGTGTTATGTTAATTTTGTTATGTTTGACAGCATATAAAAAAAAGGTTATTATACATATATATCTTGATCTTTACTTGTATTTTACTCATGGGTTAAATTGGTTTGTTCACACTGGACACTTCGTGAGATCCTAGCTTAGTAAAATTCACTTGAGTCAAATATAAGTTCCAGATCAAGATACAGTACCCCTATATAACCCTATCATATATAGTTGTAAGTGATAGTATTTTAGTTAGGAAATAACTTAAATTTATTGTAAGAATTATTTATATTTCATATATTTTCAGTAGTAAACACCCTTATTCAATTTTTAATGCTAGTGATTTTTTGTGATTTGCAAATATTTTGTGGCTATAAAGAATAAAATTATGTATTTATAAATCCTATCCATGATTATTGTTATGATTGAGAATCGTAAGGAATTTTCATAATTGTTATTTGACTACACATGGTTTTTCTTCATTCAGTTGATTATTCAGTGATGTCAAGTTTGACACTGACATCAATTAAGGCAATCATGATCAAGGGGGAAAAAACTCCTTCATTGGAACTTTTTTGCATATATAATTAACATGTTGTTTTCATCATATTATAATTATGATTTTGTAAGGGCTGTGAAATGTAAATATTATGTTAATGTTAAATTGAACGTATAACGTCTTGGTGCGTAATGTGTCATATTGTCTAGAACATTATTGCTTTAATGTAGTGGCCTTCACCAAACTATCATTTGCTTGGAAATTAGCACCTAGTGTATTTTTTTTTCTAAAATTGTTATATTTATCATTAAACCATTATAGTGGAGAGCATTATCTATGCTTAATGAACAACTAAAATATCTATAAAGGATTTACGTTAATGTCTTCATTCTGCAATTATTTTGAAATGAAGTATAATGTTAACATCTTCATGCACACTGAAGTAGGCTATATACATTGCTAATAGATTAAAAATTTGTGTGCATTGCTTTGATATTGCATGATATGGAATTCAGATGTGCAATTTTGTAATCACAAAGGTTGTAGGCCAAAAATGATTATTTACAAACACCCAAACTCCTTGTCTTGCAATATACAACAATGCACTCAAATCAGAAGTATTGCCCTCTCAGATGGGTGTTTCTTTTAATAGTAAAAGAAAACTTTGTTGGATATTTTAATGAAAGCTGTCAGTCTGTATTTATGTTAAAGATATGACAGCAATGTTAGCTTCTAATCTCTCATAGTATAATTCCATGTGCAATATTTCAGGTGTTAGCATTTTCTTTTGAATGAAATAATTTTAGGCTATATTGACAATTTTTATGTTAATTTGAACTCCTTTCCTGTAGAATATACACATCCTGTAACAGACCTGTCATTTTTTTAATGACAAACCTGTATTTCTCAGTTTTTGAGAGATTTTTACATTAACAATAACTGTGATAATTCAGCATGTTGTATAGTGTCCAGTAACTTTAGATGTATTTACATCACAGCTACATGTATGCATGGCTTTAAACTGGTCATTTAGTGGTCATAAGATTTATTTATAATTTTGCATGATACCATTTAAGGAATAACTATACTACTAGAGGCATTTTTATCATCTTTGTGACTTAATGACAGTCAGTGGAATACATGTAGAGTTCATTGTTTGGTGCTGACTGCAAGATCACTGTATTGGAATAAGGTCTAATGTTGTGTGTAATGTTTCTTACATTTTTCCAGGTAACAAAGTGTTTTTACCAGGAAAAAAAACATATTGCTTAAATTACAGCATTGTTAGTAAAACTTATCGAAAACAGAAAACTTTCAGCAGTTACCTATTTGTTTTGAAAGATATGATTCTTGTAAAAATGATTGTTTTGTAAAACATACTTTTTGCTGTTCAAAGTATAAGATAATAGTGCCAGCTACGACAGTAACTATTCTTAAATTTTGGTCTCCTGAAAATTACAAATATTTCAAGGATTGCTGACACTTATGTTAGTAGAGAAGGAATACTTTAAAAGGTATTGGATTATAAAATTTATCTGCTTTATATTGTAGTACTTGAGCATCTGAAATAGTAAATATATTCATACTTTTGACACATTGTAATTATTTTATGATAGCTATTTTACATAAATATATCCGATAATCTTATTTACTTGATATCAGATGATTTATTTACTTCATATCAGATGATTAATTAATTTAGTAACAGATAATTATTTATTTGATTTTATAAACCTTATTTACTTGATTTCAGATGATTATTTACATGATTTTATATACCTAATTTGCTGGATATCAGATATCTTATTTACATGATATTAGACAATTATTTACTTGATTTCATATATTTACATGATATCAGATATATTTATATTGTTCAGCTCAAGTTGGTTAGTGATTTTTTTATGTTGATCACATTTTTTCAAACTAAAACTTAAGAAACAATTTCCTTTTGTATGTCATCTGATTAAGGCCAACTCCTTCAGATGATAAAATAGTACCTAAAAATCTGACAAAAGGGTGATCCCTCAGAAGCATTAATTTCAACAAAATTAAGTGAAAATTTTAGACTTGGTTTGATTGAGTACATTGTACATGATTGATAATGAAAAATTACGTCCCTCACACACCCTAGCACCGGCTTTAGTAGTACATTTGTATTCAATTTTCAACACTTGACTCAAGTGCTGTAATCAATAATCCTGAAGGACCAGAAAAATATTAATATCCATATTCCTTATACAACTTTACATGCTAAATATCACTGAAATTTACTACTTTTATCACCATTAGTAACAAAAATAATATTATTTTGTACAACTTTTCATACATTTGTAGTAAGTGCTTTATACTAGCTTTAATTTTGTGAGAATATTTTTACTGTGAATTATCAAGAAAATTATCATGAATCTATGGCCACTTTCAAAGTTAATTATCATGCAAATTATTAATGTCTTAATAGGAATTGTAATATTTCTTTCTGAAAACAACTTTTTACATGAAAAGGTGCTTGGTAATGAAGTTATAAATAGTAATGTTTTGATCAGGTGGTATATATATTGAAGAAGAATGAAATTTTTTGCTTAAATGTTGATGTACATTAACAACTATTTTGTTTGTAGATTCTTGGAATGTAAATAAATTTAGTGCCAAATAAAGCATTATTTGAGGCTATATGGAGGATTGTACATGTATATTTATTATGAAGAATATTTGATATTTAATAAACATTCATAAAGATTATATGTTTGCTTACTTCTGCTTTGTAATTTCAAGTTTATTTGCTTTTCACTTGATTAAATATGTTCCTCATTGAATTATTAAGACAGTAGTTTAACATTTATCTTTCATTGGTTGATCATCTCACGTTTTTCCCTGTTCCCTCTTTGAAGGGATAACTTGTGTTAGGACTAGAACTGGGAATAGAAAAACCTATAGACAAATTCAAATGAACAAAATGAAACGTCAGTAAAATTTGTGTAGAACATCCTATAACGATCTTGTTCATGAAAAATCTGTCCAGGACAAATGTGTACAACAAAAGAGCCTTGGGACAAAACCAATTTATCCTGAACTCTTTCATATTTACAAACAAATGCCAGCCGATTTTACTGTTTGTATAGGTAACATAAGAATTTGGAATATGCTTGAAAGAGCTTATGGCACATCTTCTCGTCTAACCATTTGTTACCAAAAGGAAATTGAAAGTACAATGTATTTGGCAGAAATGTTAATCAAAATGAAATGGGGTTCAGAGCGTAGGTTTGAGCTTAATCAGGTCAAAGTCATAGTAATTATGTATGAAATTCAAAACTTTATGTGCGGTCAATCTATTAAACCAATGGTTGGAAACAAAACTCTTTGGCAGAAATGTTAATCATAATGAGTCAAAATGCAAACCATAGGTTTAGGGCTTCCTAAGAGGGCATTCCTCAACCAATTATTATGTGATTTAAGCAATGGAAGACAGTGTGACATAAAATACTGTAAAATAAAGGTTAGAATGCAAAGTCCATCTGCAGGAAGTTTAAACATTTATGTTAGATATACCAGTAGATCAGAATCTTTAGTGAACATCAAGTTTTTCCATTATTATAGTGGGTATAATAATATATGTAACAAAAGATTTCAGTTTGTCATATTGACATTTATTTACAATATTATAAACCTATAATATACATTAAAACCTTCAGGAATGGAGCCTGACACATAAATTGTAGTTCTTACACATGTATGTACATTTACAAAAATACATGTCACACAATATAAGAACAATATTTATGCAACCATTAACACAACACTTGTTAGAGCAATCAAATTAAACAATACTGTGCATCTAGTATTTGTTTCAATGGAAGTCAATGTTTATAATATGCAAATATACATTTCTCTAATTTCAAACAAAAAGTATAAATATTAAATCTGTTACAATACCAATATGGACACAATGCCTTAACGAAACAACAAAACAAAAATGAGTGATTTTCTTGTTTGAGTTAATGTGTATTTGTTTGCTAAGATATTACAAGTTTTACATAAATATGAATATTTATATAATATATTATCTATCTCTTGATGGCATTGACCAGGCTGGATAATCTAGTACTGTGATCTATAAAAAAGTTACAGAGAACAAGACTTTAATCAAAAATCTTTTACTTGCAGTTATGGCTCTAGCTACTGAGCTCTAATTGCAGGCTCAGAAAGCTTTATGCAAATCTTGGCAATACAAAATATACTTTTCTTTCAAGGGAAATGTAGACTTAATAATAATGAAAACAATACAAGCTGAAGTTACTTGTTTTATATACAATCCCTAGCTATATATAAGTAGTAATGCTTGCTCCTTGGCAAATTTTCAACATGAAAACACTAAAATATTTAAAAGGTAACATTATATTAAAAAACAATAAATCCTATAATATTATTCAACATAAAAAAACCTAGAAACTACAATGAAAATATCACAGTTTTAGCCAAACAATATTAAAAGCTATAATTGGCAACAACACGCATTTATCACAGCTTAAAAAAAGTAACTAAATATAGTGTTATAAATGCAAATATAATATGCATTCTAAATCTGCATTCTATGGGGGATAACAATTATTATGTTACTGTCATGGATCATTTGTTTAGTGTTTCTTAAATCAAAATAACTAACAATATAATGTACATCATTCTAAATCTACGATCAGTGGAAGATTAACAATAATTAGTTATGATTTCCTGATATATTCCTAATAATAGGAATTGTTAAGAGTGTCATGCTGATGTTTTTGTTATAAGAAATAAAATAAAATTTTGACATTCTGTTGTGGTATAAACCCTACCTTCATTAGATATTGTCAAAGAACCTTATATTTCATTAATTAGACTCTAATAAATCATGAAAAAATTGGATTTCTTTGAATCACTTCAAAATTGGACAGGCGGATGCGCAGGCTGGTCTGGATCTATGCTGGTCGCAAACCCATTATGTTGGTTTTGTCATGACGCGGCTCAAATAATGTTTGCTGAATATATTTCATTCAAAAATTCTAACCATTTTGTAACCATTACATCTTATGAAACTTAAACAAATCATAGTGTCTTATAACTACCTCCTACTTGTTTTTATAAGTAAGGTATTTCCCAGTATGAATTTCACGTTTGTAAAATGATCGACTACAAAAATACATAAAAAACATGCAATTCATTTCATTAGAAAGTCAGAATATTGTTTATTTGACTATCAAATATTGAAGACTAGATGCTAAATCATTTTAATTACAGGCAATATTAATATGACATAGTTAGTATACTAGTAAGCTTATTGTTATTATACTAGTAAGCTCAATTGTTATATTTATGTCTTTGATCTACAGGCAAGCTTTGTTTATTAATGCCCAGGTTTATTTAACCACTTTATCCTCATGTACATAATCTGAAATCTACACCTGTATAAACATTCCATCACACCATAACTAGATTGGATTATTTGTTCACATATCTTAAATAAACTTATTTAGTCTTCAAATGACCTAAATCTACTGATTATTTTAATTAAGTTACAATCTGATGCCCATTACAACAACTGATCCCTATTATACTGATACCCGTAATCTAATGATGCCATTATTTTATTGTCACCCTTAATCTACAGTTACTATTACTATAAAAATAGCTCAACTTTCATTAATGATATGCCTTACTCATCAATTCAAATCAATCAATCCTCTTCAGTACTTTGTGCCATAACAATGATAATATTAAACTTCAGCAGTCAACAGTTGTCTTTGCCAGGCTTAAATACTGGTCACATGGTCTCGATCTTTTATGATTTTATCTATTTTTGCCCATAGTATTCTTTTAATCATCAAAACTGGCTATATTCCAACTCTGATGACAATTTGTGTAAGTTGCTCTTGCGGCCCGGCCCCTACAGTAGTTGATACAATTTAATTAAAATAAGCGAACTTAATTAAAGATGCCTGGATGTTACAAGTTAAATTTAATGTTTAAATTTAACCTTTAGCCTGAGATGTTAGTTCTATGTCGATATAAGATCATTTTTCCTATCCTGCACAGCACTACACAGCAGATAGGATGAGACCATTCATACACCAGTATTGTTACTCATTTTCAACTGTCTCTAAAAGCGAATAAATTAAACAATAAATACTAAAGTTAGCGACTAGTTTCAACAATATCACAAAGCTGCTGTAGAAATTTCTGCTAAAGTTTATCTCTGTTTCACTGGCCTTGAATATAACTGGGGGTTATCATCATCGTCGTCATCATCATCGTCATCATCTTCATCATCATATTCATCATCTACATCTGCATACATAGATTGCTGAAAAATACAATGCCAAACAATCAATTATAATTGTTTATGAAGAAAACTAGAACTATCACTAAATGTGATTAATACCCCCGCAAGACTGCTTCAGAAATGAGGATGTTACTAGCAACAGAATACCTTGTAAAACAATTGAAATACAGTTATGGTTGTGGGCAATTAAAGATAGTTGTGGTTCTTGTATGTTGCATTTCCTTTCAATGTGGTTGGCCATTGATGAAGTTTTATTGAATTACTCTGCAATAAGTCCAGAAAGACAAGGAATAGGAACAAAGGGCAATAACTCTATAAATACTGAAGATGGAGTTATGGTTATTGCACAATGCACTTCCTCTCATTGCACTTGACCATTGTATGAAGTTGTATTGAATTCCAACTACAAGTTTTCAAGTTATGCACAGGACAAAAAAGTAACGAAGGACAATAACTGTAATTAGTCCAATAGAGTTATGGTTCTTGTGCACTGCACTTCATCTCACTGCCCTTGACCATTGTATAAAGTTTCATTGAATTCCAACCATTAATTTTCAAGTTATGCACTGGACAATAAAAAGTAACAAAGGGCAAAAACTTTTAAATGAGTCAAAAAGAGTTATGATTTCTGTACACTGTGCTTCCTCTCAATATACTTGACCATTGTATGAAATAGTATTGAATTCCAACTAGTAGTTTTCAAGTTATGCTCTGGACAAGAAAAAAGCAATGGAAAAGTAACAAAGGGCAATAACGCTATAATTACTCTGGACAGAGTTATGGCTATTGTGCACTGCACTTCCTCTTATTGTGCTTGATTATTGTCTGAAGTTTTTTTGAATTCCAACCAGTACGTTTTAAGTTATGCTCTGGACAAAGAAAAGTATCAAAGGGCAATAACTCTGTAATTTGTCAAAATGGTGTTATGGTTCTTGTGCACTGCATTTCCTCTTAATGTGCTTGACAATTGTATGAAGTTGTTTTGAATTCCAACCAGTAGTTTTCAAGTTATGCTCCGGACAAGGAAAAGTAACAAAGGGCAGTATATCTGTAATTAGTCAAGATGGAGTTATGGTTCTTGTGCACTGCACTTCCTCTCAATGTGCTTGACCATTGTATGAAGTTATATTGAATTCCAACAATTAGTCTTCAAGTTATGGTCCAGACAAAAGAAAGCAATGGAAAAGTAACAAAGGGCAATAACTCTGTAATTACTTTAGGTAGAGTTATGCTTCTTGTGCTTATTGTGCTTGACAATTGTATGAGGTTGTTTTGAATTCCAATCAGTAGTTTTCAAGTTATGCTCCGGACAAGGAAAAGTGACAAAGGGCAGTAACTCTGTAATTAGTCAAGAAAGAGTTATGGTTCTTGTGCACTGCACTTCCTCTCAATGTGCTTGACCATTGTATGAAGTTATATTGAATTCCAACAATTAGTCTTCAAGTTATGGTCCGGACAAAAGAAAGCAATGGAAAAGTAACAAAGGGCAATAACTCTGTAATTACTTTAGGTAGAGTTATGCTTTTTGTGCTTATTGTGCTTGACAATTGTATGAAGTTGTTTTGAATTCCAATCAGTAGTTTTCAAGTTATGCTCCGGACAAGGAAAAGTAACAAAGGGCAGTAACTCTGTAATTAGTCAAGATAGAGTTATGGTTCTTGTGCACTGCACTTCCTCTCAATGTGCTTGACCATTGTATGAAGTTATATTGAATTCCAACAATTAGTCTTCAAGTTATGGTCCGGACAAAAGAAAGCAATGGAAAAGTAACAAAGGGCAATAACTCTGTAATTACTTTAGATAGAGTTATGGTTCTTGTGCACTGCACTTCCCCTTATTGTGCTTGACAATTGTATGAAGTTGTTTTGAATTCCAATCAGTAGTTTTCAAGTTATGCTCCGGACAAGGAAAAGTAACAAAGGGCAATAACTCTGTAATTAGTCAAGATGGAGTTATGGTTCTTGTGCACTGCACTTCCTCTCAATGTGCTTGACCATTGTATGAAGTGATATTGACTTCCAACCATTAGTTTTCAAGTTATGCTCTAGACAAGGAAAATGCTGGATCGACCGACCACCGGGTGACTCCTATATACCCCCCCAAACTTTGTTTCGGGGGTATAATACGTGTAAATAATATTGTTATGAAAATTAAGCAACTATTAATATGTTATTCAACATGTTACACAAATAACATGTAGAAAATGAAGACTTTTCATATAGTTTTTTATGAATGGAGAAAAGACACGACGTAGAACCACACAAACACCTCCATACATGTATCATATATTGAAGATTAATTTTTGAAGAGGTTAAACGAAGAGAAAATCTCCTAATGAAAATTTTTCTTCACTTTCTATCAACTGTGTCTATCCATAACATATATGACTATAAAATATTTAATCTGTTACTAATTTTCTATCATTTCCATTTGTTTCAATACTTGTGAAATAAATATTTGTTAAACCCCATTTAAGTAATGCATTAATTACATTTCACACAATAAAAACATACATTTTGAATGCGTACTCGTTTTTCTCCACTAGAACCTGTTGATTCACCGTATGTATATGTGTATGATTCACCAGTTGATGTGTAATCTGATGTGCCTGTTGTTTCCATTGTTGATGATCGTACAGTTGAGCCAAGGGAGGTAATTGTTCCTTGAGGAACTGTCATACCAACTGGTAAAGGTAAAGTAGAACCTAAAGTTTCTCCCCCTGGTGCCTGGGAAAGGTTTAATTTTCTTGAAAACTCCTGAAATCAATCAAACATCTCTTAATTGAACAACTCCGATAACTAACAATTATTTCTGAAATTTTAAAGACATCCAATTTTCTCATTTTTCATTGAATTTAACATTTACCAACTGCTGCCAAAATGTTCTTCTAAAGATCATTCAAGGCAGAGTAGCTAAACTGTTGGCTGACTAACTTTCAATTTTCATAAAGCAGCTTTACTATACTATCAAACCATTCTCCCTCACTTACAACCCTTTCAAAATATTGGCCAGTTTCTTTCACTTTTTTTTTTACCAAAAAATAAAAATAAGAAATTCGAGATATTTTCCATAGTTCACATTGAAATTGCCTGATTTATTAAACACTGACAAGACAATTATGTGAGGACGCTATTCAACAATCATCTGTAAAGTTGTTGGTAATACTAGCTAGTTATAATGCTGATGGATGTACCAGAAGCTTTTCCCTTAGCTAGAAATATAATTCACCTGAATAGTGTCAGTGAGGCTAAACAAGAGGGCCATGATGGCCCTGAGGTCGCTCACCTGTATATAGGCCTCCGCCAGGGCCAATTTTAACCCAACGGCTTTTATTTGAACAAACTTGGTAGACACCAATAAGATGTTTCATGCTAAACATCTAAGCTCTAGCTCATTGGGTTTTTTCAAAGAAGATTTTTTAAGTTTTTACTATACACATATAGTTAAAAACAATGACACCCCTGGGGCGGGGCCAGTTTTGACCCCAGGGCTTTTATTTGAACAAACTTTGTAGACACTCACTAGAAGATGTTTCATGCTTAACATCTAAACTCTAGCTATTTGGGTTTTTTCAAAGAAGATTTTTTAAGTTTTTGCTATACACATATAAGGAAAATCAATGACCCCCGGGCGGGTCCAATTTTGACCCCAGGGCTTTTATTTGAACAAACTTTGTAGACACTTACTAGAAGATGTTTCATGCTTAATATCTAAACTCTAGCTATTTGGGTTTTATCAAAGAAGATTTTTTAAGTTTTTGCTACACATATAAAGAAAATCAATGACCCCCAGGGCGGGCCAATTTTGACCCCAGGGCTTTTATTTGAACAAACTTGGTAGACACCCATTAGAACATGTTTCATGCTAAATATCTAAGCCCTAGCTCTATGAGTTCTTTAAAAGAAGATTTTTTAAGTTTTTACTATAATATATATATAGGGTCAAAATCAATGACCCCCTGGGGCTGGGCCAATTTTGACCCCAGGGCTTTTATTTGAACAAACTTGGTAGACACTCATTAGAAGATGTTTCATGTTAAATATCTTAGCTCTAGCTCTTTGGGTTCTTTAAAAGAAGATTTTCAAAGTTTTTACTATATGCATATCCTTTCGACGGCCATAGCGTAATAAAACGTACCGAAAAATCGACTTCTCAAAAGCCGGGCGCTATAGTCAAAAGAAGGCTATAACGTAATAAACCGGTATAAAATTTTAGCTTCCTGAAAGCCACTACTGTTTTGTCGTAGGAAGGCCACCAAAATTTAGTTTTAAATGACAAAATTCTTGAAGTTTACCTTTCATTTATTTCATTCTGTTAAATGTTGTTCAAATAAAAACACCAAATATGTTAATTGTATAGTGCCCTTTATTGACAGATATAGTAAATTTTTAGATATACAGTACACTTTTTAATTAATGTGGTAATCAAATCGATATCCAAATTAACTGAAGAAAATCTTCTAAATGGTATAGTATTTTAAAATGCATTTATTGATACATCAAACGGAGTTTCTGTAAGCAGTTCTCTTATTTGAAACAAAAATGAGTTGAACTTACAAAATTCACGTTGAAAAGCATAGTATCAATCACCCTTCCAGAGAAAAATTGATTTTCATTGATTTTTAATAATTACGTTTTAAAACGTTGTGGACGTTTTACTCAACATGGCATTCTTATGGGCTATAAAGGTAAATAACGTAGAATTTACCGTTTTAAAACGTTCAGAACTTGTTTTAAAAAACAAGGATTGTGAGTCTGTTTATTGCAGTAATAACGTAATATTAACAGTGTAATGCGGTATGGCTTTGTTGTTTATTGTAAGCAGTTGAACAGCCATAGCGTAATATTTTGATTTTTCATAAACACATTAAAAAACCAGAATGTACGAAAACGAGGTTTTTACAGGTTTGCATGACACAAAATTCAAGTTTTACGCTGATTTACGCTACGGTTTCTAAAAAGGTATATTTTTGATACGTTTAACTACGCTATGAATGCCTGTCGTAAAAATAAGACTGGCTTTCAGAAATGTAAAAATTCGATACGTTTTCTTACGCTTTGGCCGTCCTACGGGTATAGCGGATGGCCGTTGAAAGGATATAGGGAAAATCAATGACCCCCTGGGGCGGGGCCAATTTTGACCCCCAGGGCTTTTATTTGAACAAACTTGATAGACACTCACTAGAAGATGTTTCATGCCAAATATCTAAGCTCTAGCTCTTAGGGTTTTTTAAAAGAAGATATTTAAAGTTTTTTCTTTTGGTTGCCATGGCAACCAGAGTTCTGCATGAAATTAAATTCTTTGAACAATTTTTAAAGGTGACCACCAAAGGAACATTCCGGTGAAGTTTGGATGAAATTGGCTTAGTGGTTTATGAGGAGATGTCATTTAAAGTAAAAGTTTACGGACGGACGACGGACGGACGAACGCTGGACGAAAAGCGATCACAAAAGCTCACCCTGTCACTTTGTGACAGGTGAGCTAAAAACAGACCCCTCCCCTCCCAACCCCTAAAAACTCTATATAAAAATCTTACTTGAAGATCTTCTTCCTCATCAATCATGGCCAAATTTTCAAAGCATTGTGAATAATACTCTATTGCTTTTGCATGAAATACCATCTCTACACTCACAAAGTCCGCCAAAATTTTCTGTAAAAATAATACACATTAAGTTCAACACCAAGGTCATAATGGTGCTTTTCTCTAATGTAAAGTACTGATATTTAATATTTATAAGCTAACTAGGACCGACCATATTTTGACCCGATGAATTGAACAAACATAGCAGAGGTCCATTTGGCCATAATCCACATTAAGTTAAAAAACACTGGCTACTTGCAATTTTTGTTAGAAGAATGTGTAAGTTTATGCATACACAAGTCTATATGAAATCAAGTCACTCCATGTGAAGGACCAATATTGCAGGAAACTTAGTGTAGATACATTTGTAATTATAAAATTGGCTGCATACCTTTAGATCTGCAAGTTTATCTTTCTCAAACACAGACATCTGGTTCTGTAAACCTTTACTTCCTATAGCAGCATCTGCTGCAGCTTTCTGAAGCTCTGTCTCAGCCTGAAATATGATATCACATGATGTTAATACTCCTTGCTCAATTAATGTTAATGTATAAAGAAATCCCAACAATGTTTCTATCTAAATCAATGCCTGTGTGTAATAGATGACATCCTTGTTTCCTGCTAAATACATGGGTAAACAAATTACATCTATGCTACATATAGAATAATGTTTATACTTGAACTTAAAATAAAAATGATAGCCATAATGCTGTATTATATTATATGTACTTATTAGAATATTGTGTAAACCCTTTCCAACAAGAAAACTGTGCTAGGTGCTTGTGAATTTACTTGTTAAATAAACTGTCCCCGTTAACAAAGATGATAACATAACGGATATGATATATAATGTATATATTAGGAGTTAAGAATATTTTTACAATTTCTTAAATGAAATAAATCATATATACATGAGAACTATGGGAAGTTTGTTCTAGCACTACAGAATGTATTAAAATACATGTATTCCATTTCAATATATCTACAGTAGACAGTATTCAACTTGATTCCAATGGTATGTCATCCAATGACATGGTATGACCCGCTCAATGCCATTTGGTAAATAGTGGTAAACTGAAATTGTGTCAACCCAACCTCATCTTAAAGTTAATAATTAATTGGTTAAAGATTTGATAACTTTGCCAATGCAACGATCCATGCATAAAATGCCTTCATAATTGAGTAAATCAAGGGCTATAACTCTTAAGGTGGCAGGTCAATTATTAAAAACTAAAACCTATGAGCTCAATATCTCATCTCAGTTAAGATTTAAGATTTGGTATCCTTCTCACATTAACTTTAAAAACAGAGCATGCCAAAGGCAAAAGTTTTCTGGTTTAAACATGCAAATTTTTCATGTTTTCACAAAGTATCACCATAATTACTTTTCTAACTTTTGAAATTAAAACTTAAAAGTAAAGATATACAATGTACTTGACATGCATGTGACAACCTCCCCCCATTGTTTTGGTAATTTTTTTTTTTTTTTTTTTTTTTTTTTTTTTTTTTTTTTTTTTTTTTTTTTTTTTTTTTTTTTTTTTTTTTTTTTTTTTTTTCTTTTTTTTTTTTTTTTTTTTTTTTTTTTTTTTTTATTATTTTTTTTTTTTTTTTTTTTTTTTTTTTTTTTTTTTTTTTTTTTTTTTTTTTTTTTTTTTTTTTTTTTTTTTTTTTTTTTTTTTTTTTTTTTTTTTTTTTTTTTTTTTTTTTTTTTTTTTTTTTTTTTTTTTTTTTTTTTTTTTTTTTTTTTTTTTTTTTTTTTTCAGGAAAAACCCAGGAAACCTATATCACATACTGAGACTCTTACCATTCAGCCTTCACTTCTTCACTCCAGTAACTTAAATTTGTATTATTCTTTACTGAAAGATCTTCCTAGATATGGTCTTAACTCAATAAAACTATGTTTTTTCACCACATAAAAGAATGTTTTGACACAAAAGAGCAAAGAATAGTACATTTCAAATGCTTGCTGGTGAATGAGATATTGCTTAGAGAAATACCCAAGATCTTCCTCAACCAGTAAAGCTGGAAAGTCACCATATGACATAAATGGTGTAGATGTGACTTGAAACAAAAAGTAAAATATAACAACAAGCATACACAACTGGTTAGACACACATTGCATAATTATTGAACTATTGAGAAGACAATAGATTTACATTATAGTGATATATATAGAGAGGTGAATATCAAAATGATCATTTACCTGCATTGCTGTCTGAATAATTGTACAATATTTCTCAGTTTAAAATAGAAATAGGTGTTAAAATGATTCTGATATAAAATCTACAAGAAAATACTTAGTGCTAAATGTAAAAGACATCTAGAGTATTATAATATATTATATATTGACCCAGATTGTATTGCTTGATGGCAACTTACTATACTGGCATAGTGAGGTAAACATATGTACCAGGGTCTGTCAAACATTAGAATATATCTCAAACAAGAGGTATATACAGTTTATAACCATGTCAATATAAAAGCTATATAATTGTATCTAGATTAAGACCTAACGAGTATGTTCAATATTGGTATCGATTTCAGACTGACATTGCAAAACTTCTATAAGATGAATTTAAATCTGCAGGCCATACTGTCGATGATCTACCCTCGTGACCTCATTCCACATCATATATATCTTTTATAATTATCTCTAGGCTTTTCTAATATCAATTGTTTATATGATATGGCAAACAAATCACGACAATGCACCATTTATATGCATCAAATCATTAAAAACCTTTATAATGAGAAGATTATTAAGAAACAGGGTTACATTTATATAACAGTTAAATTCATATATCTCCCTTTTACACGGGCATGCATATTTAAGTTTTACATTAAGACTAGACTATATATCTGTTTTCAGAGTTTGGTAATCTACATTACAGGAAGTACATGTATACTGTGTGAAGTCTGGATCAGATGTACAATAGCAACTTACCGCAGACTGAAGGTACGTTAAGGAATATAAGTAAACAAAACATAGTGTAATATGATAAACAAATGCTGCAAATTGTCAACCTCTTTTTAATAAAGAACAATTAATTCAAGTGAAGTGAATTATCTTTGACAATTTTTTTTAGAAATAAGTATCAAACTATTGATAAGCTCACACCAATGCCAATATAGGTGACATAAAATTAGCTTACGTCTTTATTTTCTGAAAATGGAGCTGTAAAATAGCCGGTTTAAGAGAGATTCCATTATTTTGACCAAGTCCCTAGATGAACAATAATTGCATAGTATGAATTATATTTTACTGAGAGAAAACTTCTGGCCAAGCTACAAAACAATTTGAGAACAGAGAGCTGACTTCTTTTAAACATAACAATAACTCTCAGTTATTGTTAGTTACAGGGTGAAATATGGCTGCAAATATAGTCTCATTACTGTTGTCTGATCATTTGTACATTCTCAGATAAGAACATGGGAGCAGGCAAACATAGTCATAATTATATACAACCTACAATACATGAAATATATATATAAAGGATACAATAGAGTGGGCATCACCAGGTTTTTTATCTCGAACTTTCTCGAGGTTCTTTCGTTGTTTTATTTCTCTGTTTATGGCACTTTGTTCAGTCTTGATTATTTGCTGTAATTATAGGATTTAAATAATATAAAGTAATCATATTTTACTAAACAGCCATGTTACACAAGTTCAAACATTTACAAAATGACATGAAATTTAAGTAACTGAAACCTAAGACAGCAGAGCTCATAAAAGCTCATAAAAGTATATCCATATTGTATCAATTATTTTAACTTAAAACATGTATTATCTCTTATATCAGAGTTAGATAAACAAGAAGTAAGCATTCTCAATAGCAGTACACTATTCATAGTTGTAAATCAGTCTTACCTTCATCTTTTTACACTTTGGGCCATACGCTGAGAGTGGTTTGACAACTTTATTATCCAAACGATGAATCTAAACAAGAGAAAAACAAAAAATAGCTTTGTAGAAAACATTTGTATTCAAAGCAAAACATTTTATTAAAGTATTTTTTCCAGTCAAGGTCCATTACCTAACAAAAATAAATCATGAAGGCCCTTTTATTGTTAAATGATGACTGTAACTACGTTCATCTCTGCTGATGATGCTCCAGAAGTGTGTGCATAATTTTATGTCAAAAAGTACTCAAAACCTATTTTCTGCCTAAATGACCTTGACCCAAGGGTTGAAGTACCCACAGACCAAATATCTAACATTTCAGGTGATAATAAAGGCTCTATGACAACAGAAAAATCTGTGTGCTGATGTAAATAGTAGAAGAGCCAAATTTTTCTTGAAAAAAAAAACTAACCCTTTTTGAAAGTGTAAGCAACATAAGGATCCATTCTTTATTTTACTTTATTTATTCGGAATCGTCTGCTAGTTGTCAACTAGCAAAGATCAGACTTGGAGTCTATTTTAGCAATGATTAATGACATGGAAAGCATAAGCTGCCTGTCTTATAGAGATAGAACAAACATCTCTTTCACAGAATAAGGACATTTGGACATTATAATAAAAGTAATAAAGGCAAGAGACAAGTAGCATGTACACGTATACCTCAGCATCCCTATAGTCCTGTATTGCTGCTAAATTGTGTGCAAAGTCTTTGAGATTCTTTGTTGTTGATACACTCACTTTCTCTTTGTCTGCATACTCTACCACTTGTTTAGCTAGTAAATCACCTAAAAGCACAAAAGGAAATGAATAATTCTAGTTATCCGAATATCCATTGGATCATATTGTTTGCATGATAGTCTTATGCTGTCCATGCATATTTGCTTTAATTTTCATTTACCAAAGCCAGTGCCATTGATGGACAATTTGTCTGCATTACCAAACTGGTATTTAAATTTTTACTGACATAATAGTGACATTGTCCGTGAGATGCTGTAACAGATTTGCCAATAACCAAAGTAAGAAGTTTGCTTAAGAATTAACATAAAGTTTTATAAGATATAAGTACACATGCAGATGCCTCTATATCCCACTGTTTTATTAGTCTACTGACTGACAGTGTGACAACAGGGCAGACAAGGGAAAATCTATATGCACCCCAACTCCCCCACTCAACATACACATTGAGTTGGGGCATAAAAATTTGAAATCTACATTACTTACCCTAGAAATCTGATAGTATATCATATCTAGTATGAAGTAAACATATCACTTAATTACAAATGTATTTAATAATATACTGTGTATAATAACATCATACCTTTGTCTCTCATTCTTGCCATTTTACGTGTGATAGATCCAAGTGTCTCACAAAAAGCACCATAATTCTTTTCTATATGGGCAACCCTCTCTTGACAAAACTTTACTTGTTTCTCCCTGAAAATATTGTTAATACTTCAATTGTTAATAGTTTAAACTATATTCAAGTAATTCAACAAACAACTGTTCAATTTAATTCACTTCTCTGTGAAACTATTCACTTTTATATAACTCAACAAACAACTGCCAGTTATTAAAGGCTCCATTATGCCCCTCAAATGCTTTTATTTTTATTTCATAAAAGCTTTTTTTATTTTGATGCCCTGTTAGTTTAAAAAAAATTGAGTCACTGGCTAATCACTTGAACCATTTTCAGTTCTGTTGTTTTGTTTGTACTTTATACAGTTACACAGGTTTAGTATTTGTATTGAAGTCAAAATACTAAAGTGGTTTATGTTTTGCTATTTTCATGACAAATAAGTTTACATTTCACATGATGAGCATCTTACATGCTCTACAACCATAATGAACTCATGTTTGTCCATCCTAAAGAAGGAAATATTCACAATTTACTGATGCATAATGTATCTTTCAAATAGCCTAAGTCTATAATGATTGCACCAGCCTACAGTTCTCTCAGCTAACATTTAAAACAAGAGTTAAAATATGTTTTCTATCTTCATCTATCTGATCTCCTGATAACTTCTTATCTATTTTAAAAAAAAAAACAACATTTATCACAAAATATGAATATGGTCACCTTTTTGGATTGAACATTGGCCTTTTTACATGTAGGTACTTACAAATTATATCACTGATCAGTCTTAAGATTTTAAAGTACATGTACATGCAGTACATTTATATACTGGCAGTAAGTAAACAATTTGTTTTCTTATCACTAATCCCTTAAATAACAACATGAAATTCAAATTTTAAGTCTAAATGTGCTGATACACACACTTTTAATGTACCTATGATCAATTATTTATTTCCTTCTCCTAAAAAGGTATACAAATTTAAAAACAATTTATCAATTTTGCAGGGTATTTCTGCCTGACTCAATGTATAAACTTGATTTCTAGTAATTAATTTGAGACACAACTTGACTAAAAACATCACAATGAACATACAAAATTTCAAATAAATATATCAATCAAATTTATTAGCAGTTACAGCTAGTATAATAGACACTACACAGCTTATGATGAGAGAACTTCTGACTGAGCTCAAATTGTACACTATAGTACATCAACTATACACATGTAGATTGGAAAATTTCCAAAATCCCTAACATATATGAATGATTAAAGACATGTTCAACATTACAGTGGTATTGGCCCATTTTCAAGGTTGGACAGATTTTGCTGTGTCTGTTCTGTATCATTAACTTCTTCAACATTACTGTCACTTATATCCTCAATGACATTATCCTCTCCTGATACACCATCATTTGAAAACTTGCGGACATTACGGTTTGATTTATTCTGTGTTTGCCGTGTACTATCCTCATCATTACTGACATTACTATCAGGTTCAATATTTTCTTCAACATCATTTTGCTCTGACTTCATTTTATCACTGGCTAATCTTTTATTTTTTTCTGCAAGAATTTTTTCACAAAGCGAGGAGTTTTTTCTCTCACTATAATCTTTCCTTCTGTCATTGGCATTTCTATTACTTTCCATGTCTGTCACAGTTACTTTATCTTTACTTTGCCTCTGTTTCCTAGTTGTGTTTGTATGTGTATCACTAGATGTATCACTGACAGAGTCATTGTCATCTTCTACCTTCTCTAGACCTCCCTTTCCACTGACCTTCACTTGACGTGTCTTGATCTTAACTTTCTTATCCTCCTGTACAGTCTCACATGGTACACTTATATCTGATACTATACTTGCCTCATCTTCACTAAATGTCAATAAATTATACCTCCTTACATTATGTTTACCCTTTTTACCTCCCGACATTCTGTTTTAATATAATCAACACTTTTTTATTTTGGGATTTTTTTCAGTCAAATCTTAAAAAATGATTGCAAAGATTTTCCACACAATTTTCTGTTTGTTTACAATATAATTAGAAACTTTTCAAAATTGTTAACACCAGTTTTAGATATGAAAGTCCTCAATTGCTGGACACTTGTATATACACATTAACTTTCAGATTTTGAGAACAGAATCTATATACTTGATAAAACCATCCTGTATTCAGACTGATTACTTATTGATTGATATGAGGCAACAGATCACAACTTCTTATAGATTTTCCTTTGTCTGACTAGATCTAATTAAGCCAATGTCAGTTTTTACACAATAACAAATTAATTATTCATCAAGTTGTATTATCTCATCCAATTAATATACATTAATTAAGATACCCAGTTAATATTATTGAGAAACAATATTTGATAACCATTAAGTAATATAATAAATAACCATTAAGTAATATGCTTGTATTTTAATTATTAAAGCAAAACCTTGCTTTAATGATCAAAATACAAGCGTATTACTCAATAGTTGATAGAAATATTCATACATAACTATAAAGTGACAGTAAAAACAATTCAGCAGTAATTTAGACAAGTGTGGACAAAAATCCACCTGGACAAAGCCCTCTGGCAGTCCAAAAATAACAGAGTGGACAAAAGCCCTCCAGTGAAAATGACTACAGACATAAATTATAATAGAAATGTGTTATGATTAAATATCATGCCTTAATTTTTATGTACATGTACTTTGAATATTTAAATACTTATACATATCTCATAATGCTCAAGTGTTAATATTAGGAAGTACACAATACATATATATATAATTATATAATCAGTACTTTTTTATGTAAAAGGAATACATTGACAAACCTGTAACTAAGGAAACTCTTGTTTATATTGATTTCACTATTCATTATTGATGATGACTACTCAGTATCCGACCAATGGGCCACCTTTGGGAAAAAGCTAGCCTAATATATTAAACTTGAAAAGTTTGACCTATTCAACTAACATTTTTTCCTGCTGTCAAAACTTTTATCGTAATTTTAACTGTCATTTTTTAAGCACGGTAACACTGTTGCTAGTTCAAATCGCTTTAAACGGTAAAAATCAGAAATGAACTATAAACATGTATTTTATTATACTTATCTCAATAAAAAATGTATTCAATGACATATAAACGCATACCAGCGATTTATTTTAAATTTGTATTGTAAATTTGTATTATAAACATGGGCAAACATGTTGTCGTCATCATAAAAAATTCAATTCCATGAAAACTTGATATGGCCGATTTGGGACTCGGGTTGAGACCGGAAATGAATATTTGTCAGGTATGTGGACCATTTTTCCCTTTCATTGCAAGTTATCACATCCAACAACTTCTAATTGGGCAGTGTTCATGCAGAAAAATGAAAAATGCAGTTTGTCGTTCGACTTGGAAAAAGACACCACCCATACAAAAAAATATCTTAATGTCTCTTTGATAAGTCTAATTAGTTGGAATTGGAAATGCTAGATTGAAAACTGCAGTGTAATAGGGATTAATATTCATAATAATTGTATTATATGCAGTATCATATATATTAACAATAAAGATTGGATGTATGTCTCTTTATATTCTTTTTTTTTAGAAATCATACACGGACAGCCAACAATATGGACAGAATCGTTTAACCTGTTATCAGGTTACTCACTGATAATAGTGGTTATATTGGGGGCAGACTTCTTGTCTCGTAACAAGTGTCATGCAGCTCTGCATTTATATTGAATGGGAATTCCTGCATTGGATCAAACAAAATCATTCGCAAACTTACATTGGCTTGTATATCACAGGACTAAGGACGAAATAAGAAAAAAAATATTGGTTTCCAATCTGTAACTAGCTCAAACATGACAGGAGCCTATATTTACCTTCAATTGAAGAGTTGATATATTTTGTTCTCAATATTTCTCGAACCAAATAGTTTAACTTTAAGGTTGAATACCCTAAAACGTTTTTCTGAGATTCCCCTTGATTTAGAAATTAGAAAGTACTGCTGAAATACACGGGTCATTTTTTTCAGGTGGTCACTTGATAATTTTTGCTCCAGATAACAGACTTTAATTTATCGTCAATTTTGCTCTTATCCTATTGATGCACCTTTAGTTCACGGTACTTAATGCTTAATTACTGTACGAAAAATGTTGTAAGCTTACCACTTAGGTATTTTCTGCTGTGTGACACAAGGAAATAACAACGAATTCAATCACATATTAACTCGTTCCCACGACTTAACTATCTCGTGCCCACGACTTAGTAACTCATGGTCACGACATAGTATCTCGTTCAAACGACTTAACTGTCTCGTGGTCTCGACTTAGTAACTCGTGGTCATGACATATATAGTATCTCGTTCCCACGACTTAACTATTTGTGGCCACGACTTAGAAACTCGTGGCCACGTCATAGTATCCCGTACGCACGAGATAAAATCAAAACACACACATGACATTTGTGCCACCGTAAAATATCGAAATAACACATAGTTATATATGGGACTCAGCCAGACCGAGCGGCAAATGTTTATATATATGAAGTATGTAAACAATAGCATTAAAGGGATACCATGTGAGTTTTAGGGCCTGCATTTTTTTTAGAACATTTGCTCGCAATAAATTTATTATGAAAAAGAACCCCAAAACTGAGATTTAAACGCTTTTAAGAACTGCGCAAAAATCTAATAAAATACATTTATCAGCGAGTGAAACGCAAACACGGATAATTTAAAAATGTTTTCTTCAGGACTCCTTCCTTCTCAAGTTATCGTATAAACAAGGTTAACAGGCCGTTGTACGTACAAACTGACCAATTCTATCATAAAAGGGCAATATAAACTTAGTCAAAATTAATGTCTGATTTATGGACCTTAGAAGGTGACTTTGTAATATGATCCTAAAGACATGTATCAAGTTTAAAGTGAACACTTCACTTAAGATTAATGTTGCATGTAAATCTTTAAACAGAAATTTTCTAAGTTTATGAATTCATAGTGTAATCTGATTGGTTAATTATCTCGTGCGCACGACTTAGTTATCTCGTTCCCACGACTTAGTAACTCGTGTGCACGACATAGTATATTGTGGCCACAAGTCGTGGGAACGAGATACTATTTCATGACCACGAGCTACTATGTCATGGCCACGAGATATTTTGTCGTGCACACGAGTTACTAAGTCGTGGGAACGAGATAACTAAGTCGTGCGCACGAGATAATTAACCAATCAGATTACACTATGAATTCATAAACTTAGAAAATTTCTGTTTAAAGATTTACATGCAACATTAATCTTAAGTGAAGTGTTCACTTTAAACTTGATACATGTCTTTAGGATCATATTAAAAAGCCACCTTCTAAGGTCCATAAATCAGACATTAATTTTGACTAAGTTTATATTGCCCTTTCATGATAGAATTTGTTAGTTTGTACGTACAACGGCCTGTTAACCTTGTTTATACGATAACTTGAGAAGGAATGAGTCCTGGTTTATTTTATTTGGTAGGGACATTGCCAATTGACAGTAGATAGCCTATAAGGGATGTTTGAGGTCAAGGGTCAAGGTAAACATGATACTTCATGTAAAATCATGAATGATTTATAAGGAATAAGCCACAGTTTGTATAACCTAGAAAGATCAGTAGATGGCACCTTATAATTTTGAGGTCATTGAGTCAAAAAAAAGGGTCACAATGACGCTAAATTTAAATTCATTGACCAATCAATAACTTGTATAAATGGCACTTTTACAGGCAGGTGAAGTATGGACATCATTGTACTATAGCACATGTCTAGTTAATTAGGAAAATTCACATAAATAGTGTAATCTGATTGGTTATTTATCTCGTGCGCACGGCTTAGTATCTCTTGGTCACGACAAAGTATCTCGTGGCCACGACATAGTATATCGTTCCCACGACTTAACTATCTCTTGGCCACGACTTAGCAACTCGGGGCCACGACATAGTAACTCGTTCCCACGACTTTTTTATCTCGTGCGCACGACTTCGTAACTCGTGGCCACGACATCGTATCTCGTGGCCGCGACATAGTATCTCGTGGCCACGACTTAATTATCTCGTGGCCACGACTTAGAAGCTCGTGGCTACGACAGAGTATCTCGTTCCCACCACTTAACTATCTCGTAGCCACGACTTAGTAACTCGTGGCCGCGACATAGTAACTCGTGGCCACGACATAGTATCTCGTGCGCAGGAGATAAATAAAAACACGCACACGTCACCTTTGTGCCACCGCAATACGTACTTAGATAAAAAAAGACGGAATAACAAGATAAAATGTTTTATTAAAGTTGAATGAATTTTTTCCCACTTAGGTTCGTCTGTGTCATGACAGAACATTGTTCTGATTGAAAGGCCTTTTGCCAACATATTTTATTTTATGTAGAAACGAAGAATTTCCGACAACAGTAGTAAAATGCTGAAAATTAAGCACTTGTATGTTGTTGTTGCTGCTGGTTTTTCCCAAACAAACAATAACAAGTATATTGACCAAATTACAGCCGATATTTATTTAATATTGTTTTGTAAAGTAAGGAATTTATTAAATAAATTGCCAATGTCGACCCTTTTCCTATGGAAGCTTGAATTGACCCCCTAGATGCCATGTTCGTATTTAACTCGTGTGTCGGCATGTCGACATATATAAACGCGACAAGACGTCTTTTATCATGGTTTGTTGTACAAAATCTAGGCTTCTTGACCACATATGTTTCAGTGCATGTCGACAAACACTTTGTCAATATATTATACTGTTAAAGGCATGTCAACAAGTTTTTCTGGCGTGTTGATATAACTTATCTCAACTGCACGTTAGTTATTATGAGAAGGCTAAAAAGTAAGGGCGTCTTGTCGACATCCTTTCAGGCATGTTGACATATTTATGTCGTTATACTTCTCCGGTCGATATTTGACGTCTTGCATATCCCCTAATGCACTATCTCCACTTTGAAGAGTATTCAAATAGGCTACAATCACTGTCAAGTGTATTGATACTGATGGGCGTGGTTTTTTTTCTTCCTTTTTTTTCTTTTTAACATTTTTATTAATCTCTCAGATCCTTAATGTAAGATCAAAGTGTTTTATTTTAATTATATTATTATTGTAGGTATTTATTTACTTAATAATGCCAAATATAATAGCAAATATGATACCAGATATTTTCAAAGTTTAATAAAATAAAAACTACACGGTAAAAGTATTTTATATTTTGCAAGACCAACCAATGTACATTTAAGAAAATTAAGGCAAACTTTAAAAACAGCCCCTCATTTTGGAAAATCTTAGGGATATTTTAAAAAAGGATTTTTACATTGGGAAATGGTCAAATAAGTGTTAAAAGTGGGTGGGGTAGGATTACATTTTTATACATATTAAAAACATTTCTTGTAAAAACAATCATTTTGCTTGTTTAATTTGTTACCTTATTGTCATTATTTGTTTTTTTAACAATGAGCAATAGGAAAACATTTTTCATATTGATAATATTATAGATTATTTAGAGTTTCCTCATTTCTGAAAAAAAGTCCTTCTAATGGCAAAGATTTAGTTCAGAAAAAATCTCCATAACTCATAAACCACACGGTAAATTTTGTTTAAATTTTGCATACAGGTGACATTTAAGGCATATAACTGTCCTATGTTGTCAACTTGACAGTTCCTTATAGTGCCCATTAGGGGTGTACTACCTTAACTCAAAATGTCATGATGTCAAGATGCAATGCTGTATAAAGACACGCATATACGACATTCAAATCTTACTTATTAAATTTTTGATTTGAAAAACTTGATTTATAAATTGATGACAGTGCAATGCATCTTAGTTAGGATGCTGTCAATTTATGAAGAAATCAATTTCTTTCAATAAAAAAGACGCTTGCTGTGTTATATATTTGTTATGAAACTTTTACGGGTTAAATGGCCGTATATAAACGATTGCAACAAAACATTAGCTAAGCGGTTCGGCAACAAATGGCCAAACCTGTAAAAAAAAAACACAAAAAACAACAACAACAAAAAACAAAACAAAAAACCCGGTCATTAAACTTGTCAAAAATCTGTATAACTAATATTAACAAACGTGCAATATTATAAAGACATATAGGCAAAATTAAAGATGTTCGACATGTATTCTTGAAACTTGTCATGATTTTTGAATATGATAAACATTTCAAGCCAAAAATCTTAGAGGTCACCGATATCATTTTCTGAATTCATGAATTTCATTGTTTTATTTATTTAACCCTAAGCGACCATGTACTGAATTGGTGTTCTCAGTATGGTACTATAACACAGTGACATTCAAAAATGAGATTGTGTTTCGTATTTAAGAAGTATTTTCTGTTAATCTTTACGGGAATTTCTTTTATATGTTTGTTGTTTACTTAAGTCAATGGTTGAACGAAAACTATTCTACCAAAGGAATTACAATGGATGGAAAATGGAAGTGCAACTAGAACATCTATTTGCATAAATAATCATATTATTTTAAACTAATGAAACATGTTTCTCTGATATCAAAGTAAGAGAAGTGTTGTACTCTATTTAAAAAAGAGTAATGTCAAGTAAACCCTCATTATGGACAATAATTGTATCCGGACAAACGCACTGCGTTGCAATCAACTCGCCGCCGCTTGCGTTGTAATCACTTTTTGTCAATTTTTTTATAAAAAGGAAATAACAATTTTCAAAAGTTCAAAAATATGGTTGTTTTTTTGCATTTATCATACATGGCATGTAATGTTGGCGTATTTAGGGGTAATTTTGCACACATGTGTACATGTTTTAAGCAAAATTAGGCAAAAATGGCGTCCCCTCGTCAAACTGTACAGAAGTGATTGCACAAATGGCAATTAATTGCACCGTGTGCGTGTAATAAGTTGG